TTTTTGGAATTGTTTATGCAGGTCGGAGCATTGGAGGAGAACTGTGTTTGAATACCCGATGCACAGAAATCAGTCGGTCTGAGCAATGAATCGATCAAGCGTAAAAGGGAGAAAGAGGAGTTTAGGGCAGGATGTTGGGTTTGTCGCAGTACCAGGAACGGGTGGGAAGATTTTATCTGCGGCGATAGGAGTTCAAGGAACGTTCAGCAGTATATATTGATTCAGCATTCCCAAGCATAGCTTGGACACCAGAAGTGAACCCAGCAGTGCCATCCCCGTTACATTAACTGATTCGTTGGCTACAGTGATGAACACCTTGATTTATCTATACCCTATCGGCTAACCTGACCTGAGCGGCCAGCTGTCTGGGCGTTTATAGGTACTTCGTCAATAATGTTTAGCCACAAACGGTCCTCTTTGCGTCTACGAGTTTTGCAAATACATTGCCTTTGAAACATATTCATGTTTTCTGGTGCAGTTTCGTGAAATCGTTGTTGTATGCCGCGAATACCTATAATGATTGGCATTATTCCATGTCTTCATCGTACAGAACGAGAAGTCTAAAATTCCTAAACATGACAGTTGCTACAGAAAGTCATAAACAAGCAATAAACAGACGCAAAACCAGAACGCCATTGACGCCGCTCCTCCTGATCCAGTCTTTTATGCTGCTGCCGTGTTACTCTGGCTCATCTTTGATCGAGATCATGGGCTTTAGACGCCCATGGTGAAATCATGCTCGATACCTGGTGTCACACTGGCCATAAACTAGACACATGTCAGCAGGGAATAGTCTGGGCCGTTTAGGGGAGAGTCATACCTTGAGGAACACAACCAAGTACTGATCCACTCGGATAGCAACCTCTTGATCATCGATCTCAGCTTCCTGTACCTCCTCCCATTCATCCTTGTCTGCCGCCTCTTGAGCGCCCTTGACATCTAGCTTTCCAATCTCATCAACCAAACCCTCCATTCCCGAAGGTGCCTGACTGTTATCAGTGTTACCAGTACGGAGCTTCTCACGTCGCAGGCGAAGGGCAGCATCGGCGCGGTCAAGTAATGTCTTCATGACTGACGCGTGCTTGCAGGGATGTACAGAGGCCATCTTGATGTTGTTGGCGAAGAAGGGGAAATCTTCGAGTGTCACTGTCTTGTCCTTGTAGTCACCGACAATATCCTCCGTCATATCAGTGGGAGGGAGGGGCTGGCCATTGGCGAGATAGCCTGAGAGGTACAGACGAGGTGTTCTGTAGTAAGGAGAGTACATGATGTACAGGGTGTATGTTCGGTGAGCGCTGAAGATATTAGCAGACCTATTCACGATTTAGAGAAAACAAGGCATACCTGTTCTTAGAATCGGCGCCAGAGTCTCGGATGATAGCTTCATCATCGTCTTCGTCCTCCATATCAGGAATCTCATCATCGTCCACAACCTCTCTGTCACCGACATTTCCTGAATCGTCCACCGTCCTCACCTCCTTCACTTTCAACGGCTGCGAGCTGGCCAGACCACCAGTCCTCAACCAGCCATCTTCGTCATCCCCTGCATTACCCTTGAAGTCATCGCCGTCATTGACAAGAGCTTCCTCGTGTCCAGCGTCACCAGCAAAGTCGTCGTTCAAACGGCGATGACAAGGAACATTGCGTGTTACCAAGAACTGCTTGCCAGGAGGCAGATGGCTGACTCGACGTTCAGGGGAATCGGCATCACCCCAGGACCAGGTCGGGAACTTATAAACAAGATAGTCGCCCGCGGCGAGGAACTCTTCGGGTGTGATTTGACCGGTCTGACGGAAGGTTGACTTGTGGGAGACGGGGGTATAGCGATCCCGGAGGGTGTTGACTGTCGAGTAGATGTAATTCATGATGGCTTCGGCGTCGGTTTGTTCGGTTCGGGGTTTGCAGTTGTTTCTATCGAAGGAAAGAAAACAGGCTTTATTATAGGAGTTGTATCTTGTACTTCTTGGGAGGATGCGGGGCTGAGTTTCTGTGCAAGGTTGCGCGATGTAAGTTGGCAAGTATAGTTTGAGGTGTAGCAGAGTAGAGGTTTGGAGTATGTCCCTCGTCCTTCTGTCACGTCTGCCTGAAGTAACGAAGATGACTGATAGAGAGAGACCAGGCGACGACAAGTACTTGGGTGAAAGTACCTTGCCTGAGTAATACCCAGTTAGAGCAGCCGCTCACTGTCACTGATGAGGCGATCACATGAAGGTGGAGGTGTGTGTGCCTGGACCCCTCATTGGCTGTGACGTAGGGGTTAGCCAGTAGCATTGCTTTGAAGCTCCATAGAATGGGTCTTGCAGCAGCCTTATCTTATCAGAATGCACGTCATTTTCTGGAAGCTCCATTCACGTGTGTATTATACCATGAGCCTCTCTTGATAAGAGTCTGGTGCCCGAGTCATGAGGAGATTATAACAAGTGTTATTTCTTATATACTGGTCAAGTGCTATATTGGATTATCGTGGTATCTTTTCTTTTCTTCGCCTGCGCATGTCTATCAACTCATTCCTCGTCAGCCTCTTCCTCTGCCTTTTTCTTCTTCTCTTCACGTTCCCTCTTCTTCTCTAATAGTTTCTTCAACTTCTTGGCTGAGTTGAACACTCCGTTCGTGCCAGCTCCACATGATGCACAAGTCGGGTCCTTTCTGTATCTCTTCAGAGCACACGGCTCGCAAAAATAATGCCCACATCTTGTCACAATAGGCTCTCTGTAGGGCCCCTCACAGATGATGCACGCGAATGGGATCTTCTCCAGCATCGCTATCTCTGCTTCGTCCTCGGGGGCCTGCTCCTTTTTGTCGCGGTTGGCGCTCGCAATGATGGTGCCGCCCAAGTTCTTCTTGCCCTTTGTGACTTCCTCCCACTCCTTGTCGAGCTGCCAGCCTTGTTTGACGTCTGTTCGATCGTGGAGGAATATGCAACTGTCTCCAAAGCCACAGTGACCGGTTTTTTTGTAATCTTTGCAGATATCGGGTTTGAAGTCCATGACTGTGATGGTTCGAATATTTGTGGGTGCCTTAACAGGGCCCTTCGCTCTTTGGGGCGCATCGGGGTTTTTCTGAATGAATGATGTCTGGTTCGCGAGCCCTTTATATGTTCCATCCGGTTGTGAATCCTTCGCGGAAGCTCTTGTTGACCCTAAGAGATTCTTTGCCGAGAGATCATCCTTCTCCTCATCGTACCAATTGCTATGCTTCGTCGCGTCATTTGTACTTGTGATTGGTACATTACGATCCGCCGAGTAAACCGTGGCTGAAAAATCCTTCTTGCTCGATGCCAGATCTTTGGAAGAAGCTGTAACGGTGGCGGTCTTTTTGCGCCGTTTAACGCGCTGTCCAGATTCGTCTTCTGATGATGAGTAGTCGCTGTCGTCGCTATCGGCTGGAGGTGGCGTCGCAGGTCGTTTTCGAATATTTGCTTTGCCTTTTGCGCCTCTCTTCTTGAATACAGCAACAGGTGCTTGAGGTTCTGTAGATGAGTCTGCCATTTTGCCGGAGTTGATTTGGTAATGTCAGATGGGAGTGTGGTGTTTATTTATGCGACGGATAGCGATTGGAAATCAGACTTTCTTAACTTACCAAGGATGGAGGAATCTAGAAGTGGTCATGTGACTGCGCGTCTCTTTGGTGTTGGTTGCACTGAGCCTAATATTAAGTCAGAGCTTTATTCTGTTTTCCACCTCAAGTCACATGCAATACTTTCCTCAACGTCTTTGCGTCTTTGGCTGCTTTTGAATGCTCTGCCGAGTATAATCTCGCTGTGAAGTAGCCGCATTAAGTTTTACGGATAGACAATTCACCGGGTCCTGTCTGCCTGTGAATAATGTTCGATAATAAACGCTACAATTCATGAATTCAAATTTATTACTAACTCGCTTGCATTTCAACCCTGATGGCTATCGCGCCAAGATCCGATGAAAAGATGCTCAACTAGAATACTCGAATCACCTTTCTCATGAGTATTCTCATGCGGCAGCCACCCAAAACTATCTTTTGGTAAGACTAGCACATCCCCAATCAGTCTGGGCTCGGGCAAACTGTCTAGTTCATCGCCAGTATGCTCCGTACCTGTCATCTCTTTGAAGTAGTCCATAAGGACTTTCGTAAATGCAAAAGGCCCAGTTGTGCTCATAACCTCTTCGAATGAAACAGTATCACCTGGTTTCTTAGATGCAAATAGATTCTTGAGATCGCCTGCCACTTGATCGACAACCGTTCTTATAGCTGGGTGGTTTGGCTTTGCCAACACTGAGTACTGGCATAGCTGTACAGAGTACGGGGAGCCAGGCCAAATTGGCTTCTTGTGATGGTCGTTCTCTATCCCGACGACCAGATTCACTGAGCCTTGGTACTGCTTGGGTATCCATTTTGAAATGGGCTGGTGTGGATATACATCAATGTCTGCCCATAGACCACCTTCGCGCAGCAGAATAAGGTATCTCAAGAAATCGGCTTTGAGAATAGGATCTTTCAGGCCTGTGAAGATATCCGAAATATTTGCGTCGAAGCGATCAAGAACGTAGGCGTCGTTGTTGGCATCGGTAATGCGCTCGTATCGCCAGCCAGGATTGACAACACGCCATTGGTGTGGAAAGCCGACTGTCCGCTCTGTGGGATTTTCCGAATCGTCTTTCCAACTCTGCCAGATTTTGTGAGGAAATGGCTCTGGTTTTGATGCAGCGGAAGCCGTGGGTTTCGGTCTTTGAGTTGTGCTATTTTCTATTTCTCTGGTCAACATTTACTCGCATCGACTGGAAATAGGCACTTACGACTTATACGGCCGTTGTATGCGTAGTTGCCCACCAGAAGCATACAGATCACAACAGCAGCCAGAAGAACAAACGCATATTTTCTATGAGTTGCCGTTGCTAGTAACATCGTGGCCTGTAGTGTCTATAGGTCAAAGGAGACATAACAAGAAAATGCAATTAATTGAGAGATGTCTGTCTAATAATAAGATATTCCAGCCCTGTCACCCATTAAGAGCAGCAGCCTAGCCGCAGGGTGGCAGAAACAACAGACAAAATAGTTTATTCATGCTATGCCGGTACAGATGGGCATCTAGGCTACTTTATTTTAGTAGACTAAGCCTTAAAGGACATTTCTTCTGGGGACCCTGGTCTGTCCGTGGAGGACATCATCTCAGCCAATTATCAACATCCTCTTGCCGCCCGATACTGGACTTTTCACATATTCAAATATTGTCAACCAACACAACACTCACATGTCACCATCTTGCCTGATGTGGAATTCTGCTACCAACAACATGTATGTTTTCGCACCTTGTCCTTGACAATGGCCAGTGACGGCTCTCTTTTGTATCCGTATCTTGGGTTCATGGCGAATTTCTCGCCTTCTCGTCCCTTGCAACGATGGTGATACCCGCGCGGCTTCATGCAGCTCACGCTACCTTAGACGAAACAGATATATGAGCGCAACCAACACGCATAGTGGTTGGAAGATCTTATCCTCTATGTTCTCCCTCAAACTCCGTACTTCGCCTCGCTCGCTCTGCCTCCTGTTTTTTCGTAGTTTACGGTACATATTATACAGAGTTTCTCCAGAACACCTTGCAGTATATTGATCACGATGACAAGGCTCATCGCTGCGTTGTTCCTTTGCTTTCTTTCTACATGCCTTGCTGCCAGCAAGTGCTATTATCCTAACGGCGACGAGGCTGACGACTTTCCTTGCGATCCCGAAGCGAAGGAAAGCGTCTGCTGTTCTGGAGGGTTGGGCACAACATGCCTGTCCAACAAGTTGTGCATCGGGGCAGACGGGAATACCTTGAGAGGTTCCTGTACAGATAAGAATTGGGCGTCGCCAGAGTGCGCTATGTTTTGTCTGGGTAAATGGCGCTCGTCTTTGAGTACGACTAAGTGGCTATGCTAACGATAAAAAGGTGCGGACAGGGGAGGAACTGACTTGATCTCCTGCTCTAATGTCACGGGTAGCGATACCTCGTTTTGTTGTGACCACAATCCAAACTGTTGTAACAGTGGTGTTGGGAGGTTTAATGTCCTTCCGTCTAACCCGGAGGTTTGGGCGACGTGGAATCGAAAAGCAACCGAGTATGCCGTTGTTGGTACAGTCTTCATCGACGAATCCACGACCACAGCTGCATCGGCTACTTCAGACACGTCGTCTCTGGTCATTTATGCAACGTCATCATCTATCACTACGGCCAGCGAAGCATCTTCATCGTCAAGTCATGTGCCCGATTCGACGACATCTACTGAGGGCACACCAGGAATGTCCACCGGTACAAAGGCAGGAATTGGTGCTGGTATCGGTGTCGGTGCTGTCCTAGCTGTGGCAGTCGTATGCCTCCTATGGAGGATGCGCAGGAATAAGAAAGCGACCGAGCAGGAGAAGCAGTTTCCACCTACATATTATGGACCGGGTATGGACGCATCTTGGCAGCAGTCTCACTATACGTATGGCGTGAAAGAGCCACACTCTCAACCGCCACAGGAGCTTCATGGACAGACATTGCAAGGCTACAATGTGAGAGCTGAACTACCAGCACATATCTGAGGGCCTCAGGAATGATATAGATACAAAGGCATGGCGTTGGGATCATTGGAGGTCTGTTTGGGTTGTTGCCATTTAAAACAATTGTATTGTAATCATCATAATGTCCAGGCGCCAACAAAAAGAGGCACAAATCATCAGAACCTGGCATCATTCTGTAAGGCGACTGGAGCCGTCTCACCGGGCCTATAAAATGTATATGTCCTAGATTTAGGAAATCCAACTAGAGATATTTGCACAGACCTTCAGCTTCTATCCACAACTGGGACCCTGATTTCCATCTGATAGCGAACCTTGTGATAGCCTCGTTGAATGCATGGGTAGGTTTTTCAACCAGGAAAACCCTTTCTGACAAAACATAGACCAAGGGCAATTCCGGACAAGCTGCCTAGAGGCATGAGAGGATGATTTTAAAAGTGGTGGTCCGATTACCATCACTCACACGCAATCAATAGCAATACCTAGGAAGCTGGAATTTTGGTACTTGATCTACCCTGTACCCGCAACTTGAATTTCAAGGTTCATCAAATGCAACATAGTACATACGTGCCATTGGCAAGCTATGGGGATATTCGCAACTTGACAACCCGAGATCATGTACACTATGTTGTTTCGATATTATGTCCTTTTTGTAGTGATCACTTTGCTGTCTGTGATAACACATGTTCGCTTAGTACATCACATCAATACACAGACAACATGTCCACGGCTGCAATGCAACTAATAGTCAAGCAAGCCCCTTATACCCGCAGGATACATACATGAACTAGATAAACTACGATGGCCCTAGGAAAGGTCATGTCCACGCAGTGCGTCGAAGCGACATTGAGATGTGAGGCTTATGTCTGACGTGTCTGTGGAGGACATGAACAACAGCGTGGCGATTGGCCAAAATGGCCAACGATAGTCTAGGAACCAATGCAACTCGTATCAACCACACAGAACAGAGAACCAGACATGCAGACCTTACTACAAGCTACTGTATCGTATTTTTATTTTTGGACGCGGTCTGGATCGATCGCCGTCGGTATGTTAGCTGCCCAGTCCAACCACAGATCTGATCGAACATTGCATCTGATCATCTCTTATCCGTACGAAAAGGTGCAAGAGAAGAAGAAAGTGCTTCAAACGCACTAAAAGATGCTTCCCCACTGCCAGACCCGGCCAGGTCAAGACCCTGGTCAAGGATAACCATGGCAGCGAAATGAGATGAAAGACTCGGTTTATGCGGGAGTCTTTGCGGACCTGGACGCCAATCGAAGGTACTTTGCCTCATTGACGATGACGGCATGTGATGCTAATGCTATCCATCTAGAAGATGGTGTTGCCGTTCAGATGTGGTGGTGTATCGATATGTGAGTACTAAGGTAGTACATACTTACTTGAACATGTACATTGCCTGAAGTCAACATCACGAACCGCGTCGTGGTTTGTTTATTTTTGACCATTCTAGGCCATAGTATTCTTACTACTGCGTGCAGCTGCAGTAAATTATGCTTTATGGTTCGCATAAACCCCGCAGCCTTACTTGATATGCCACTTCAGTATAGGTACCGTATTTGAGTATCCGTACGTAGGTAGCAATGCGTAATATCTAACCCCATTGCTACAGAGGCTGGTCGAGGAAACAGGGAAAATGCCTACAATTGAGTTTAAGACCGGATGATCGCTCTAGAGCAACATTCTGGCTCGTGCAAGGGAAAAAAAAAAAGGCAGTTCTCTATGCGGCATTGAATGCTTCTAGACACGGGCTGGGAGCTCAGTTTGGATTTGACATGAGGCGTTGCGCCACGAGAAACCCCAATGCTACTTTGAAGAAGAGAAGATTGATAGACGTTGACCTGTTCGCGACTTGATGCAGAACTTTCGTGAGCGCCTCAAAGTTACGGCTAGGGTTTTACTAGTTTAATAAGGACACCTGAACCTATCACGACTGCTATCAAGGTTGAGGGATACACCGCAAGCGGGAGTGGAAAAGATGGCAGATGTTTGAAATGATAAACGAATATCACATGTGTTGGTTCATTATCTCTACATAAAGGCAATATCGTCATTTGTCTGTGTCTGGCCATGGCTGACAGTACAAGAAGATGGAAGCTGGGATGAGGATAGCGGGGAGTGTACAGTAGCAAGAGTACTTAGGCAGGTAGGTAGCATTGCAACTCAATTCCGCTTAGCCAACCTAGTTCAGAAACTGTATCCTTGCAAGTTGGTTCGAAATGTTCTAGCCCTAGAATTGGCAGGAAGTCATACGGATACCTAAGCTGATAAGAAGCAATGCCGAGACAGACACAACATAAAGGCAAATCTGGAAAATACACAGATCCTTACAATTCAAACTCCAACGTGAAGTAAAATATCCGTACTTGATCAATCAATCAATGAAGGTGGCTGGGGGGCGACCTGAGCTACGGCATCAATATAGCGGTGTCGCCATGTCCGTTCCATTCTCCACGTCTCCACGTTTATCCCAGTCCATGAGAGAGAGAGTCTCAATTCTCGCTTGCCTCTCACAACTTTCCATCCATGGTTACCTGTAGAGGTCAATCGCTTAGCAGCATGGGCTCAAAAATATCCGTACTGTACATATACTATGTATCATGTTATTGCCGTGATGGAACACGAATGATATTGAAAGCGAAGTTAAAATCATTTCGACTGTATCAAGTGTCTTTGCTTTGGCCTAGTACAGTACATAGTAAAGAAATGAATGGGCTTTCATTTGACCCCCCCCTGGAGACTAGAAAGGATACCTAAACCCACAGTCAGCAGACCAAGCCAGATCAAGTCCTTGTGCATCTCGGTAGGGATTTGGACTCGACTTAACGCAGGTACTGAACGCAGGGGAAGAGGAGAGCGGAAATCATCATAGCGTGCAGGAACATTAACAAGGGACCTGTATCTAATGGCCCCAAGCAGCATATGGATGGATACAGTCAGTATTTCTCTGTAGGTACGGATAGAAGTAGCTAGGAATAGCAACACCACAGCTTGCACATCTCAGCTTCCATAAACGCACAGCCCTTAAACTGGAGTCTATCCCCTGCCAGACCACATCAATTGAAGGCAGCCAGAGGAGGAAGCGAAGAAAAGTGTCTCCAGCTTCACTTGCACCCTGGCCTAGTCTGGGCAGCTCCCCAGTCAGGCTCGTCTCCTTACCTTGAGCTCATATCTCTCGCTATTGATCCTGATCTTGATCTTGATTTTTTCCTTCTTTCGTCTTTCGACCTTTTTACCGTCCTTATACTCGTAATACTAACCCAACAGCAAAACCACCGACGTCGAAACGGGCGATAAGCGACTGCCCAAGAGATCGGAACAAAGGGAGGCGCGTCTAATTCACGACTCTGGATGCCCTCTACCAATCACTCGGCGCTGTCGTCCCCCTTTTGATACCGTCCTCAACCTTTTCCTTAGGTCACCGTCACGGGGCCGTCCATTCTTTCGAGGACAACTGATTTTCTGAAAGTTGTGGTTGTCATCTTTTTGACTTGCTCATCGAGTAATTTTCCCGATTGCTGGTCAGGATTGTACTACTACCGACAACCCTTTCGATTACTTGTATCGGACGCGACTTTCGTTACGCCTTTTCTCCCTCTTCTTTCTTGGCCGTATTTCAACCAACCTCGGTTCTCTTTCCAGGGCGATTTCAACACCAATTCCTCACGAAACCTCAAACGTCACCGGCCGGCCGCCCTTAAAATCAGACGATCCACCCCAGTCCACTCTGGAATTAAAAAGAGACTTTGTCGCCGGAGCGTACTCCACCTGAAGCTCAGGTACCCCCAGCTCTCCTTGTCTCCCGTCTCCCGCTCGGAGTCTGGACTCATCAATTCTTCACCTTCGCCTGTCTCTTTTTTCTCTCAGTCTTTTTTCTCTTACGCGGCAACTTTTGTCGGTCGACTGTTTCGCTGCTCACGTCACTGCCGGGAAACTCTGTCAGCGCCTCCTTTGTACCGTTGACTTAGTTGCATTGGTGGTAGAACGCCCCGTCGTGCAGTAACAGGCGCATCCGGCCGTTTGAGCTTTCTTTGAGTTGTCAAATTCCATCGGGAATGATCAACAGTTTTGCTGTCGTATAATTCTTGGAACGCATTCCAGAAGGCAGAAGCCAGCAGGACAGCAGCTCACAAACTACCGCGACTTTCTGGGTCTTGTCAGAGTTGCGACAACTGGAACTGGAACCAACAGGGGTAAAGAGTCCACTAATTGCCCAGCCCACTCACTCACTTGCCTCTCTGTGTTGTGCAGTGTGCGTGCCTGTGCCTGTGCCTGTGCTCGTGCTTGTGCGTCGTTCGCTCCTGCGGTACCTGACTAAGGTTTAATCGTTGGCGCGTTTTCGACTGGACAAGTGTGTCAATAATTAGACACTCCCATCGCTCACCCGCAAACCTCTGGGCATTTCCAGTCACACTCAATCTACTGCACGGCACCTCTGAACCACCCGACGGTACCTATCTCAACTCAAGCTGCCCCTCTTTGCGCTTCATCACATTCATTCTTTTTTTTATTTAATATTCTTTTATTACCGTTGTACTGCCAAACGCTTCTTCTTCTTTTTTTCCATTGACCTATTATCGGACAAGTTCATTCAGTCCAGTCCTATCTGTTACTATAATCTGTCTTTTTCCTTTTCTGTGGGAATTGTCTCTTTTTCCTCGCAGCCGGGTCTGCTTCTTTACGACCAATAGCTCCAATCTTACGCAGTCTCCCTGCAGAACGCTTTACTGCAACCTGACTGGTCGACATCTTGCGGCACACGCCAGCCCAGCTCTAAACTAATCAATTACGGTGCTGTACTGTCCTGAGGTGGTACTGGTACTGGTACTTTAACGCCCGTACCCCATTTTTTCTACAAACAAACAACACAACACGTTGGATACGCTCAACCACCACAACTCAATACAGAACAGCGTTCCCTGCGACGGGCCTGCAACGTCGTCCGTCTGCGTATCTTGATGGTTTCAAGGCGTGATTGAGGAAGCTCTCCTTGCCCCGGAAGAGGGCCACCTTTGCTTCGCAATCATGGCTTCTTCACTGGCTTCCGACAAGCCTAGCTTGCCCGCACCTGGCGCAGCGCCGTGCGACCCGTTTGTCATAACCGACAACACCACAACAACACCCGCGCATCACCGATATTCACAATACGACCACGAATTCTTTGTCACTGGTCCTGCCTCACCAGAATCCGCGAAAAGAGCTCTCGCAGCTCATCTGCAAGAGACAGAGCGACGTCTTGAAGAGGCTGGCAAACTTGGTAATGCCTTGGTTGCCCAGCGCAAAGAGCTCACCGAACAGCTGAAGGAGATTGAGAAGGTGAACAACGAAGAGGAACTCTCACAAGAACTCCGAGAGCGAATGGTCGATATCGAGAAGGAATTCAACACATTAACTCGAGAGTCCGCACGGAATTTGTTGCCGAAACAGAGGGTTCCCAGTAATGAGGCCCATCCTAGTTCTCCCTTTGCGCCCGAGAACAAGGGGCCCAGAGTGGTACGTTGCCATTGCCTGCAATCAATTAACTTTGGCCTGCAAATAATTAACGCTTCATTTTCTAGCGATCCGTCAGCCCTTCCAAGTTTGAGATCCAAGCAACGGGATCCCCTACAAAGCTCACCGTCCCTAATCGCAAGGTTCGCAATCAACCTTCCAATCGAGTCCACGATATCGAATTCGCCACCGAGATCAGTACTTCGCTCATTGCCCAGGTTCGCAATCTCCAAGGTGTCCTTGCCGAAAGAGATGAAGAAAACAAGGATCTCAAGGCCGCCACCGCGCGACTTGAGCTTGAAGCGGAGGGATTTCAGCAGCGCTTCAAGTCACTCGATGAAAGCGAGAATCGATACAAGGAGGAGAACTGGAACCTTGAAACCAGGCTGCAAGAGTTAACAACTCAACACAAAGAGGCGCTAGACCGCGAGAAGAAGCTTACACAATCTCTCAACGTGATCAAGACGGAAAAGGTCAACGCACAGCGAGAACTAGATGAGGTCAAGGTGAATCACGCACGATTGATTGACCAGCACGCCGCTGCTGTCAAGCAGCATGATATTGAACTTGGTACTGTCAGGCGCAATATCGCAATGGCAGAGGGTGAGCGTGCAGCTATGCAGCGCAGGATCGACGATCTTACCGGCCAGAACCAAGAACTCGCCAGGGCCTTCGCATCCCAACGCCGAACAGTCAGTGAACTTGAACCCACCATCCGCGCCAGCGATGACGACCTGGAGTCATCTACCGACCACCTGACTCCGGAACACTCACCTCCTCAATCACCGATGAAGGGTACTCCTCGTCATGCTATGCTTGAGACTGAGACTATGAAGTCTTCTCTGCACCACGCTCAACGCACCATTCAGAGCCAGCGTGGTCTCCTTCACCGCGAGAAGACCGAGAAGCTTGAGCTGCGACGCATCATTCAGGATCTTCGTGATGATCTAGAGAAGGCACGCAGCGACCCTAGTGAACCTAAGCCTCAACGACCACGCCGCACTAAGGACTCTAAGGAATTTAAGAAGCCTCCTCGTCTGCTTGGATCATTCCGCTCCAGCAGACAAGAAGTAATCACCGATGACGGCGAGTGGGAGGATCAGAATGATGTTTCCCCTCGTACTTCCGTGTCTCCTTCAATGGCTAGGGCATCTTTGGCCAACAGTAGTCACACTGTCCTCCCAAGCATCGAGCTTCCTGATCCCACAGACACTGAGCAATTTGATACTGCGAACGAAGGCGGCGAGTCAGCCTTCGAGACGGCCAATGAGCGGGCCACCGAGACTGAGGACTTCCAGACTGGGAATGAGGAGATGTCGGGCAGCGACGATACTGAAACCGAGGGCACCACTCGAGGCTTCGGCAGCATGCGAAATGCTCCACGACTTCCCGCCGGCGGCTTCGTTCGTCACGGCAGCAGCCACTCATTACACAGCACCGCATCGACCTCAGCTGATGAGGATGACGTCTCATACTCGAAGACTCCTAGTGGTACTATCAGATCTCAGAGAAGCACCCGTTTCCGTATGAGCCGTAGTGTCTTCAACCGCTCCAGACAAGCAAGTGAGGAGCCCGCCTTCCAAGGCAGCCCTGCCAGCTTTGTGGGTAGTCGAGACGGGACACCTCAGGCTGGCCAAAGTCTGTTCGCTGAGCTTCAAGATTTCGATGGCAGTGACGACGACTCTGCCGGACCTGGCACACCCAGTCGCCTTCGTGCTCGCTCTATGACCCCTGGCTCCATTCGCCGAGGATCGTCACCACGACCCGCAGTTCCTCCCCTGCCCAAGGTCATCATGGTGGATACAGGTGTTATGACAGAGCCTGTCAAGATCGTGCCCAGACTTGCAGGCTTCGACTCATCGCAGATGGTCACAACTGGTGTGATGACAGAAGATGGAGAAGAGCACTTTGCTGAATCACCTGTTAGTGTGGTGACAGCGAACCGACCGGCCTCCATGCAGTCAGCCATCGGCCCTGCTAGCCAGCGTGCACCCCCGTCTTGGCCCGTTGACTACGCCTTCACTGGTTCCCGGCCTGTTTCTATGGCCTATAGCGACGCTGGCGCCCAGCACGACCCCGACATGGAGGAGAAACTGGCTCAGTTCCCTGCTCCTCCCTCCATGCTCTCTCCCATCCTCCCTCCTATCTTGAGCATGTCCTCAATCGCATCTGAGGGTGTTGAGCCGAGGGAAGAGATTGAGACACCGACAACTCCTTTGGCTCTGAGCTTCACACCCCTCTCCAATCAGAGTGTTGAGCCACTGGCTGAGCCTGAGGTTCCTCTTCCGGATCTGACGATTACGTCGATCATTTCTGAGCACCTCGAGCCCCGTGCTGAGCCTGTTGTTCTTCCCCCTGCTCTTAGCATATCTACTATTGCCGCCGAGCACTTGGAACCTCGAGCAGAGCCCGAGATGCCTCTACCTGATCTCTCAATGACCACCATTGTTGCCCAGCAGGTTGAGCCACTTGCTGAGCCCGAGGCCCCAGCCCCTACTTTGAGCCTCTCTGCTATCTCAGCCAGCTCTGTCGACCCCATTGCTGAGCCTCCCATTGAGCCAGTCATGTTCATGCCTCCTCCTCCGGCACTGTCCATGTCTTTGATTACCGGTCAACACGTTGAGCCTCTTGCTCCCAAGGGTCCTGAGCTCCGCATGTCCGGTATCAAGGGTGAGTACATTGAACCAATCGCCGAGCCTGCCGAGCCTGTGCCCGAGCTCCTCTTGTCCACAATTCAGAGCGAGCATATCGAGCCGGTTGCAGAACAAGAGTCTAGGTCCATTGTACCAGCTATCACGCTGCCGTCTCTGCCCCCTGCTCCCGCCCTGAGCTTCTCCGTCATTCATGGAGAGAATGTCCAGCCTGTCGCCGTGAAGGCACCCGAGCTTGCCATGTCCAGCATCGTAGGCGAGGCTGTTGAACCTGTTGCCGAGCCCATGGCTAAGGCCATCACCCCCAAACTCAGCATCTCGTCGATTCATGGTGAGCAAGTCGAGCCAGTCGTCGAACCCGTTCCTGTGCCTGTTGCACCTGAGCTTTCTATTTCTACTATTAAGGGCGAGTACGTTGAGCCAACTGAACTTCCAGTTCCTGATCTGGCCCTGTCATCCATCGTTGTTGAGTCCGTTGAACCCGTCAGCGAGCCCGAGAAGGTCGTTCCCACGCCTTCGCTGAACATGTCGTCCATCTACGCAGAAGACTGCGAACCAAGAGAGGAGTTACCCCCTACTCCGACTACGCTCGTCTTCTCTGATCTGTCGACCCAAGATGTTCAGCCCGTCTCTGAGCCTGCGCCGTCTCTGGCTTTCTCTGGCATTACTTCCGAGAACGTGAAGCCCGTTCTCGAAGTGGTCCCCACCCCACCAACTTTGGTTATGTCTTCAATTGCTACCCAGGGTGTTGAGCCTATCAGCCCCGTTCGCAAGACCTCCGTACTGCCCGCCTTTGGATTCTCATCTATCGAGTCTGTCGAGACCATGCCTATCTCTCCTCGAACTCCCAAGAGAGAAGGTTTCGTTCTCCCTCGCGATATGACCTCTCCTTTCATGGACCGAGACGTTCCTCGAACTCCAGATAACAAGACAGCTCATAGTGGTGAGGTTGACCAAGGCTCATCACCTCTTATGGCTGAGGATGAGAACGCACAAACACCCAGCGATACACCCGAGCCCGCCACGCCTGATTCCCAGAGGCCGTTCGACAAGCCCGTGGTCATCATGAATGATCAGGGTGCGCAAACCTCCCTCACTGCTGATGCTATTGATGCCATGCTCAAGGCTCGTGCTCACCCAGTCTTTGGACTTGAGAAGAAGCTTTCAATGACTAGCCCTGATACTCCTGCCACCACTGGCACTACTGGCACCGTAAGAATCCACCGACATGACAGTTTCGAGAGTCCTGTCCGACAGGAGAGGGATGATGACGTCTTTGACGCAACCTTTGCTCAACGTCCCGGTAGCTCCAGAAGTGGTATGGCATCCATGCACGAAGCTCCTCCTCTGCCTGCCAACCACCGTCAAGTCATCGAGGCTGCACGATCTGGTTCGGCTCACAGCAACCAGAACAACATGGGACCGCCCCTCTGGCCCGCATCTGCCCTGAAGCATCGTCCAAGCACCCCTGGACAAAGTGTGCACTCGCCTTCTCTTCGGGCTGGCACACCCCGTGCTGCTCGAAACCCCGTTAGCTATGGCGAGCTTGGAAGACAATCACCATCCAAGCTTACAGCCACATCGCGAAAGTCATCAGTCTCGTCATTCGCCTCAGAGCTCGATACCCGCTTTAACATTCGTCCTGGCGAGATGGGTATGGACCCCGCTGGATTTGGTCCCAACACTGATCCCCGCATGATCCAGGCCATCACCCAAACCATGATTGGTGAGTATCTGTGGAAGTACACTCGCAAGACAGGCCGTGGGGAGATGTCAGAGAACCGACACCGTCGTTACTTCTGGGTTCACCCTTACACCAGGACGCTTTATTGGAGTGACCGAGATCCTTCAACTGCTGGACGCACAGAGTTGAAGGCCAAGAGTGTTCCCATCGAGGCGGTTCGTGTCGTTACCGACGATAACCCCAGCCCTCCAGGACTCCACCGCAAGAGCTTGGTCATCATCTCTCCTGGCCGAACTATCAAGTTTACCTGCACGACCGGACAGCGACATGAGACATGGTTTAACGCTCTCTCGTATCTGCTGCTTCGCACTAATAATGAACATGCCAATGTCGAGGATATGGCAGAGAACTTCACTCGTGAAGATGTCGATGAGTTCAACCCTCAATTCGGACAGCGCGCTAGTAATGCAACACGCCCAGGAGCTGCACCGTCTCTGTCATCTTACCATTCCCGAACAACCCGCAACGAGTCACCCGCTGTTGGAACGTCCATGAATATTCCGACTCTGACACCCAAGGCGCAGCCACAGCGCCCCGCTGGAACGCTAAGCAAATTGAGCGGTTACTGGAAAGGTAGCCAGCTGTCTGGCACTTTCTCAACCCTTCGTGGCCGGGGTCCCAGCGCACAGAATGTTCATATCTACGAGGCTAGTGAGGCACATGATAGTGCTGAGGATGTGAGGGAGATTATCGAGCGGCAGGATAGGGATGCTGACCGTCTCGAGAATGTCCGCGCATGCTGCGATGGTAAGTTCGCTGCCTACATGAAATGCATGGAATCTAACAATCGAATAGGCAAGCATGATGTTGGAACCCTCCACCATTTCTCTAAGCGAGGCCGTCCTGGCAACAATCACGCGCACTCTACGCACTCTCAACCTGGGCTCACCCACTCTCATACTACCATGTCTTCTGTACGCTCTCGAGTTTAAACAGAGCCATGTCATACACAACTACTTCGTTCCCTGTAGATCACTCTTGTCAACCATTTCACTGTTTGTCAAACTCGACTGTTACGACCGACATCCTTACGGACTTTCACGATACTTATGATTTTTCTTGACTTTGTTGCTGTGCACCCTCGACAACGAACCTAGGAGCCGGTACCCAAAAGACTATAATCACCTACTACAGCCATCAGCTGGCTACGAACCAACAAAACCTTTCTTACATTGTCTTTATAATACTGCAACATTCGCCGATAGATCTGTCGGTCCAGAGTGCTTGACGCAGACCAAAATAAAACATCAAAAAACATCAACAGTACCGCATCACTGCATTTTCCTTTTTTTATTTACTTTTTCAGCCAAAACGCATTGTTTGTTTGACCAGACCTCTTTTCACCGGATCAGCGCATGGGATGCTGGGGACCTACAGGAGTTTTTGTCTTTTGTACAGTCCAGGTGCCGGCGAGCATAGTACACCTGGGAAGTAATGTTCTCGAAGCTGTGGTCAGTAGCCCAAGGGGTTGACAGATAGACGTTGTGTTTGGAGATAGTTGTTAGGCGAAGGGTCTTGATGACTGAATGAAACTTTGTACCAAATTAGACGGTTGCCTTTGTATGGAATTATGTGACTGTCCCATGTTATACCGAAGTCTGATACTTCTCAGCCGACCGAAATTGCCGGCTTGAGCTTTGATGACCTGTTCACACGTAGCCGAGACCGAGGACAGATTTCCACTTGATAGCGGCCATATTGGATGTATCCTCCACTGGAAAATTAGAAGAACCTTGTGATGCCTCCACTCCATACTAGGTATGTTTTTAGTTTCAGGTCTCGGCGAGACACCAGTAATACAGTACGTACTCGGCATCTGACCTACCTTATAGGACTGGACATTTTGGCTCTACTAGATTCATCCTACCCCCATGGTCCGAAGACATCTATGTTAAAGAATTCCGCCAATCGAGTAATGAGTACGGATATGGACCTCGTAACAAATCTCGGTACCTATGGAACTCTGGACCCGCTGAAGCTCCAGCCATCAGCCATCAACGGAATCCGACAGTGGGGAGCGTGTCAGCCAGTGGATTCATCACATGACGTATGTAGCCATACACAGTGCCTCACCTCGCCTACCTACTAAGGTACAAAGCCTCTAGCGGTGTCACTTACACTCAGTTGCCAGCCTATCAAGTGACTCCGCGTATAATCATTCCGCCTCCCTCAATCGAGAATCAACATCGTCGACCTCTCTCCCTTCGAAAACGCAACCTCAGCAATCTCCTCGATCCCTCCGATGCGTCTTTGTCGCTGTATTCTCTAGCTACGGAAGAGCCGAGGCTGTAGAGGCCCTCTTGCGCCCAAGCTCTTTCTCTTGAGCCTTTGTGGCTCCGGAATTCGGAGCCATGGCTAGCTTTACCTCTCTTCTCGTGGCATACGTGCTGGGCGGCTTTACGTTTATACCTTTGGTCGTTGCATCCGTATTAGCGTTTATCTTCTACACGTCCCCCGTCTTAGACGATGCCGCGAACGAACACAAATACAGCCTTATCGTTGATAAGGACGATGATACAACCGCCCTCGAGGCCGCAAAGCGGTCGCACAAAAAGGACAACCGCGCGCACGAGAACGACCTTGATGTAGCCGCCGGCTTCTTTGCCGTGTGCAGAGAATACACGCCTATGGGCATCAACGCAAAGCCTATCGAAAGATCAACCCCGGTGGGCTCGACGACCGTGGCCTCTCCAAGCCCCAGCGTCTATCAGACCATGTACAGGAGTATTTTCGAGAGAAAGCCTACTCCAGGACCCATGGAAAACAATAGCAACACTACGAGCCAGAGACCGAAGAATGCTGGCAATGTGTTTTACGTGGTTCTGAGGTACGTGTGATTTCCCACACCCCTCATCCCTTCGCTAACATCAATCTAGACATGGTCACCTAATGTTGTTCGATGATGAAGAGCAAGTCGAAGTCCGACATGTTGTTTCTCTAGCATATCATGACATCAGTATATACTCTGGTGGTGATGTCACACCGGAAGGTGAACTTTTCATCAAGCGAAATGCGATTAGATTATCCCGAAAACCATCTGGCACTGAGCTAGCCCCAGACAGTCCTATTTCAAAACCCTTCTATCTCTTCTCCGAAAACTGTTCAGCCAAGGAAGATTTCTACTTCGCTCTGCTCAAAAACCAAGAGCAGAATTACGGTACAGACGGCCAAGTACCGAAGCCCTTACAATTTGACGTCAAGAACATCATCTCCTTGGTTCAGAAGCTTCACTCGACGGAAGAGAATGTTCATTCAAGATGGATCAACGCACTATTGGGAAGAGTTTTCTTGGGTATCAACAAGACAAAGGACATTGAGGCTTTCATTCGTGAGAAACTCACCAAAAAGATCTCTCGTGTCAAAAAGCCTGCCTTCCTCACTAATATTACCATTAACGGGATCGACACTGGCGATGCAGCTCCTTACTTCAGCAATTTCAAACTTAAGGATCTTACGGTTGAGGGAGAATGTGTCGTGGAAGCTGATGTCAAGTATTCGGGAAACGCTCGTATTGAGATTGCTGCTACGGCCAAGATCGATCTTGGAAGCAGATTCAAAACGCGAGAGGTCAATCTTGTTCTTGCAGCTGTGCTCAAGAGAGCTGAAGGTCACATGTTGTTCAAAATTAAGCCCCCGCCGAGCAACCGAGTCTGGGTTACTTTCCAAAGCATGCCAAAGATGGAAATGGATATCGAGCCCATTGTTAGTGCGCGACAAATCACCTACACAGTCATTCTTCGCCAGATTGAGAATCGTATCAAGGAAGTCATCGCAGAGACTGTTGTACTGCCGTTCTGGGACGATATGCCATTCTTCAAGACAGAGCACAAGCAATGGCGAGGTGGCATCTTTGAAGGTGATGATGCCACGGTCCCAACTGACGATGCTGAGAGTATAGTGGCAGCGGCAGGAGATGTTGCTGCAGTCAGCCATCTAGATGGGAATCCGGACTTGACAGAGGAAGCCCGACCTTTTGAAAAGAGCCATACTATACCTGTGATGGAATCGACGCCACCGCCGACCGGTCTGTTTGGGCGCAGACTCAGCAGAACGGGTACTAACCCTCAAGCTTCTGCATCATCAACCAGTGTCGATTCTAAAGGTCCAGGTGCGAGCCCAGTCTTGAAGCCTAAGATATCCAAGACATCACTTGAACCTGTTGTAGGCACTGATGTCGCCCATGCCGATATCTTCAAGCCGTCAACTTCGCCTCCCGATCATGCGACCAACTACATGACAGCTTTGCACTCGCGTGCACACGATGCTTCTCCCCGACCACCTCAGCCTGCAGATACACCACCAGTGGCGTCATCTGCCTCTCAGCGTTCTAATCGTTCCTCGCGCTCCTCCTCATCTGTCAATGATACTGTGAACAATGTCCCAGGAGTGGCAGAAGATTCTCAGAAGACGCCAGTGGCTATGGGGCGGCGCAATACAGCTTCATCAATTGGTTCAGGATCCCATACCGACGAAAGACCTGGCTCTTCTGCTTCTTCTCTTAAAGAATCGATGAAGAGCCAGACAGGCTCAATAGGAAGGAGTTTCTTCGCAAGGCGTGACCATGGGGAGATACCGGTGCACGAAGAAGAAGAGCTCGACCAGAGTGAAGCTTCTCGGGACTTACAACCCGACCAGAGTCATGCACAAAATCTGAATCATAGGCAGACTACACTGGCTGCTGTCTCGAATGCAGCAATGCAGGCCAAACAATGGGGCTGGAATGCCTACCAACGGCACAAAGAGGCGCGAAGGCAGGCTGAGCAAGCAAGTCATCTTGATCTTAGCCAACCTATGGGCCGAGGGCAACCGTTACCTCCTCCTGGAACACCTCTCCCCAAACCTACTAACGGTATGACGCGGATAGCACCTCCAACGAGCGTTCCTGCGAGGAAGCCCGTCCCTGGCTCGGCAGCACATACTTCAGTCGAGTCCTTGGAAACTCATCATGAGAACCATCACGAACAGGATCAGGACAACCATGGCGACTACCGCCCTCCGTTGCCCCAGCGCGGACGTCGCCGACAGAGCCACGTTCCAGAACCAGATAACGGACAGAATGTACTTATCGTCGCTGCCCCAGAAGACTCCCAGCCCGCCACACCTTCAGGAGATGACCCTTTGAACCATCAAATCTGGGCTTCGAGTGATGAACAGACCGTGACAGATAGCGGAACTTCTCACCCTCCATCGATGCTCACAAATGAGTCCTCGCTTATGCAGGAGGACATCAAACCAAGCAATTCAGTGGGAGCACTACCGACTGCTGCTGCAGCGACTGATGACGACGACGACTTCTCTGGCTGGATGGACAACGAAACTTTAGATATGGAAATTAACAGCCCTCCACGGCCTGCAGCAGCACAGGAAGTCAAGTAGAATTCCATCTTACCATCAAGAAAGGACAAGGACCAGGCGTTTTTGGACTAAACAGAATCAGGTTGACCAATAGTCCCTGACGGAGTAAACATCTTTAACCTGTCTTGTTTTATCTTTGTTTATTGCTAATTTGGCGTTATTGGACGGCGATGGGCTATTGACTTGAAGAACCAGTAGGTATACCATAGTGAAGTGAGTAGTGATGAATAATTGCCCGATTTTGCTATGGACATTGTTGTGCCCGCAGTATGAAATAGTTGCATCATCTGGTGTGCCTTTCCAGCGAGCTTAATGAGCAAGCAAAGCTATATGCATGCATCCCTTTTGTATATCAAGCAAGCTAGGCAATGAATAAATTACATCTGCTTCAACTTTCTGAACGAGACAGGCAGGCCTTGAAGTGGCTACTACTTGGGCTAGCTGCTTGTCGAAGGACCTTTGTCGTAAATCCCACGTGTTGGTCAAGAGGTTGGTGTATCAGGCGTGGGTGGTCCCGAAAGAAGTTCCGATACAAAAGAGCATCACCCCCTCGAACTGTATACGGGCCGGATGCGAGACAAACATAACAAAGATCCCATAAGACCGAGAGGAATGCCTCGATATGGAGTTGGATGCAGAAGTGACGTTGCTCTTTGTCTGGAGGATGATCTGGTGGCTCACACAATTCTCACATAGATAGAATCAAGTAAAGTAAAACAGTTTCATTCGAACTCTTTGCTAAAGTCCTTTACCTTGTTTTCGACGGAAAGGTATACAGTAAAGCAGTGTCTTGATACCAAACAATAGTTAGTTCTATGTCATGGTGCCGGAATGCTGTACTCGTATCGCACTTGGTACACCAAGCATTGGGGGCTGGGAAATCACTTGTGATGACGTCCAGAACTGTACGACACAAGTTAACAGGCTAATATAGTAAGCCAGTGACTGCCCTGGCAATTGATACCCTCGGCCTTCAGACACGGACAAGCGAGAATTTGTACTCGGAGGACTATCTCAGCTCATATGCCAATGTGCATAAGAGGAAATAACCCGTGAAGGCATGATTAGTCTAGCCGCTGAGCTGATGACTGTATCTCATCCGAGACAGATTAAAGGAACCTATACAGTATGCATAATGCACATTTCATCACCACTTTACAAAGAGTTAGTCCATCCGCTCCCCAGGTTTTTGGTTGAATTGCAGTAACGCGAATGAATGTCTCCGCCGAGAATATGGGGTGCATGGCGGGGGATCACGGAAGTGGCTTGGCCATCCACAGTTTCGTACAGTCTAGCTATGCTACATCTATATCTATAGCTGTACAGTGAGTAGTCTAAGTAGTTGGCTAAAATGCCATGAGCTGTGCCGTCCGACGATGGATGCATCTTGGTGCGGTTGGAAAAGAGCTTGTCGTCTTGGCTATGCTGTACCTTGATAAATACAGTATAGTACACTACACTACAGTATAGTACCCCTCTCATGAGTTATGAGTTGAACTCAATGATCAAGATCAAGCTTGTTTTTGTGAGGGTGGTCAAGCGGCCAAGCCGACGCCAAAAAAGTCTGGAAAAGATGCATGGAAGGAGTAAAAAAGAAGTAAGGCCGACTATAAATGCATCTCGTCTTGTCTCGACTCACACAAGTACTGTACTCGTTAATCTTTGAATTGTCCAATCACAGCAATTGAACCCTGAGCAGCTGGCATGCTGGATAACATCATCTCACCCCTCAGTAACCGACGAGTTGGGTAAAACCCAACGCCCAGTGACATACCTGGTGCATCAGCTTCAACTGTCACTCGTCATTGAATATAACCTTGTTGAGTTTAAACTGCCGTACAATATTGTACAGATACAGATAAAGATGCAGTACAGTGTTGACTGGATTGGTCATAACAGGCGCGCTTATTCTTTGCAACTTCAGTTCAGGAATCATGAACTCAACAGAGTTGCATGACGCCACCATGATCAGAAGTTCTAAACAAACAGCCAGGCCCCTCCCTGTAAGTATGTACATAGGTATGATATCCAACAAGACTGACCAGGGTGACTGACGATGTGTTGAATTGAGAGGAGAGGAGGAGAGGAGAGGACGGACAGGTCAATTACCAGGCTGTTGGTTCCGTTTCAATGGGTACACTTACCAGCTAAGGCAAGTGAAATCATAAAGTTACCCGTTGAAAGCCGTTCATCCAATCCGCCTTGGCTCGTTGTGGTGAGGCATTTTCTGTCCCTAGATTCCAGGCGGAGTCTTAGCACCGCAACTACTATACAGTGCAGTACCGCGTGCACATCTTCTTGCAGCGGGTCTTTGAAGTCTCGAACATCGTGGGCGTCGAAACAATTGAGTGCAAGAATTGCTTGGCTTGCCCGTATCAAGACTCCGACTCTGTATGTCAATAGACTTGACCATGGGCTTTCAATTGGCTTGGTAGAGAGACACCTTCAATTCTTTTGTCCCATCAAATTGGCAGAGAAAATGCCTGCCTAAGAGAAAAAGGCGTTGCCGTTATCGACCGGCAACGAAATGCCTGTATCAGCAGATTGAGCTTCAACTCAACAGTGGTATCCGGCGGCCGGACCGACGATCATGTACACTCCCTCTTTAGTCTGGCCATACATTGCCAATGATCTAGATTGGGATGCCAAATTGGACCTACCGATCCTCAGACCTTCAGCTATCCTCCTCACTTCACGTGCTGACTTCAAGTGGATAGTTGGTCAACCATAACTTGGTCCTCCATTTGCTTGTCTCGCATGTCCGAATGTGCTATTGTCGACAAGGCCACCTTTAACGAGTACAGTACAGTAGAGGGTTAAAGAAGGTGTGGCGAGACGAGATCGGTATTTGTTCAGATCTTGAAGCTACTGTATCTACCCTACCTAATCGTCAAGGTTAGCTAGAATCTGGATGATATTATGAGGCTCAAACCAATTAACTTGGTTAACCCAACCTCACCCGTGATGCGTTTGTATACCACCAGTGTGACATGGACGTAAGACTTCTTTCCCCTCCGAATATAATACATTTACAGACCAATGGCCAGGAAAGTGACGCCTACACTGAAAGCCATTGTCGTATCTCGGCGGAAGGGGAGGAACCTTGAGCATATTCAGGGGCCGATAGCTGTCCCTTTCCCTGAAGTGTGAGTCTCGTCTTAGCTCATATCTGCCACCTGGTTTCTTTGAGAATCAGGTCGCCTGTAAGGGCAGAAGCGGAGCAGAGGAGCAATCGAGTGGGGGAGTATTGAGCCTTGTGCTCTTTTTGTGCCAACGTGTTCATTACTTGAGAACTTGTTACGGTCATGTTGATGTCCTTGGCTCAACTGTCAATCTATTGATCATCAGCTGATACATGGGGGATCATGTATTTCAGCAGGGGACTTTTCTTCGCAACAGAACTGTCTTGTCATAAGTCCCGCCGATATCAGGATCTTGGAAGAGGGGGCCTTGACCGAAGCAGTTGCGGTCATGCCTTTACTGATGCATACAATCTGTCGATGGTCTATCCCCTTGTACGTGCTTTGCTTGGCACTTCTAGATGTTTGACTCTTTGGATTTGATGCTGACCCTTGTCGGAAGTATAAAGAGATTTGCGAACAAAGCTCGGCAGATCGCCATTAAGGCTCAGGTGAAGGTAGAATTAAACAATTGACTCGTGAATAGTGCCGTCGTGGTCTCCCAGCTAGGCTGTATCAAATCCACTAAACCGCTGCCAAGCATCTTTTGGCACCAGAAGTCAAATTATGGCGTTGACTTGACCCTGCGATACCTAAGCAGTATTTGACTCGAAATGAGATCGTCCCAGTACCAAGACATTAGTTTTCGTCGGTCCGTCAAGGCGTCGAGACTGTCAAGATGGAGAATCGAATCCTCGTCGATCTTCTGACAGTCACCTCAACGTGTACAAGACTTTGTTTCTTAGACGCGGATAACCTGTGGCCAAGGCATGTTTGACGATGTTCAGTATCCAATCAACACTCAAGAGTCTGTTAGAAGCACAAAACGACAGGGGACCGTGCCACGGGAAATCCAAGATTGCTCCACCTCCTTGTCTCTCCGGGGCGCATATGACGCACTCGTACCCGTGTCAGTCATCCCTGTCGTGCAGAGGCGAGCAAGATGGGTGGGCGTGCAATAAAGATCCCACACCGGACCGGCTCTGCTCTTACGGATACAGCAGTCGAAGTGCTCAACTTCTCTCGAATTGACAGCCGCTTTAGGCGCTTTCAGTAGGCACCTCGAGATACGGTAGGACTCCGGGCTTCGGGCTATTATGCACAAGAGCTGATAACCGCCGACGTCATTGCCCAAGCTGCCATTAGAGAAGAGACCCCGACAAGCTGCAAAGGTCCCTTGGTTCGTTGTGCCGGCCGAGATCTCGGTGTCGACCCTTTCAGCGCCATCAGAGCAAGGGGGAAACACCGATGGTCTTGGCGACCAGGAACTCCCAAGACTACCGAGATAGTACAGTACAGTACAGACACGATCATCTAAATCAGATTTGCTGCGTAACCTTTGTGAAAATTTAGACAATCCTCCTTTCTTGATCCCTGACATGTCAGGAATGAGCATGTCTCTCCAGACTCTGACCGTCGAACAAAGCAAGGCTTCTTCAAACAGACCGACTTTGTCTTTGATCTTTGATCTTTGATCGTTGATCCTTGATACGCCACACGGGGGTATATCGATTTTCAAGTTTGAGCTTAATTCAGTCCCATGCGAAATTGCGTTGCACAGAGGAATACGTAAATGCCGCTCGGTCTGTTTATCTCATTGTCGATCAGGCGTGACAGATGCGAGTTAGAATTCAAGCTTACTTTGAATAATCTCAAACTGCCACGCAATTTGTCTCACTGCTGCGTCACTTTGGGACGCAATCACCGTGCAAAAGGTATCAACTGTACAGGCACGCAACGCATCTCAGATTTGTGATGCGAGGACTTTCCGGATACACAGCGTCTTTTGCTTGCGTGTTTCACGACTAGGCAGAGCCCATGCGCGGTGGTTAGGTATCGATGAGCCGAATTAACTGCAGCGGATGCAGTATTCGCTGGTGGGAAGACGGCTACCGTCATAGATCCATCAAAACAAGTACATCGAAACGCAAGGTAGATCCGTGGAGTAAAGAACGATGTAGACCCTGAAGGCATGTACTGTAGACCGGATATGCGCCGCCTAATGTTTGATATCAAACCAACGGGAAATATGCCATTGATGGCCTAGGAATTGTGGTTTTGCGGATGAAAGGATGTAACTTATGTACTGACTGTACAGTACCGAATTGCGGCTCTTGAAGGTCAATTCTGACCAATCATGATTATAAAACCACAACGTTCACCTGCAATTGAGTTCGATTATGATGGTAGATACTCGCTTGCTTCGTTCGTCTTGTCAGGGTAGACTGCCGTCTCTCCCGAGCAATCCAACCGATACCTCTTGAAACCTACTCCGATGGATGTTTATGCTGCCCTTGTCCAGCAAAGCCGGCATCGGGATATTAGAAAACTGACCGCAGCATGTATGAAACGAAAGAATGTGGTTGCTTTTTGTCAGTTTAGCGGCCACTCTATTTTTGCGTCTTAAGCTGTTTAGGATGAATGTTTCGCTATAGGCCAACCATAGTGAACCGCTAGACGTATAGGTAATTAATCTGCCCAGGCTCCGTTCATGCCTCGGGTCCAATCTCTGTCGACATGCGAGACGAGGCGAGGCGAGCAAGCGGGTACGCGTGGGCGGTAGCGCGATATTGTGTGGTTGTGCAGCTTCAATGCGTGGGGCATTTTGTTTTGTGCTGGACTTCTCCTGGACTCCGTAATTTGGCTCTGAATAAAGACTTGATTTGGTTCAAGGGCACGCGAGCCATTTGATGAGTACTAGACGTCGACATGGATCCAGCAACTGCACCGCCAATTGCTGACGCCAGGCTTGTTCAAATGTCAAGCAGGGAGGTACAGGGCTGAAGAGAGGCGCGGGATTATTGCCTGCCTACGCCTTGTTCAGGGGCAATACAGTATCGAAAACCTGACCGCTGAAGATACAGGTAGACTGTGACAAAAGTATGCAGCCATGCCTGTACGCCCAAAGAGCAGTTCTCTTCCCAACTATCTCTTGTACCTTGATCTCAGTCAATCACCTGCTACCCCTGAGAGGGACCAGGACAGTGGATGATTTGCTGAGGATAGAAACACGAATGCTTCCAGTGGAGATTCATGATACGTGGAGGATCGTCACAAAGGTCAGGTCACGAAGAATGATTGTGATTGTTCAAAAAAAATTGACCGCTGTTCCTGAGACCCTTTTCAATGATGTAACTGGACAAGCTGATGAGCTGGAACATTATGACTGCCGTTGTGCATCGTCACGATCGCTTTCTGAAAAGTCTTGGCTGTAACAGGGTTTCGGGCAGAGGAGTTAGTTGCTGGTAGCTGAGCAAGACTGTATCCGTACCTCGACAGTCAAGACAAAAGAAAAGAATGGTACATGTAATTGTGTCAAGTCAGAGTTGATGATGATTTATTAGCAATTCTTGATCAAGTTTGGAGGTATTACTGATATTGAAGCGGAGTTTGGTTTGTGCAGATGACGGGAGGAAGGAAATGGTTGGTTGGCACTTGCAGTACCTAAGCCCAAGGGTCCCCAGATGGGGAAAGTGAAGCCGGGTTCTGGGATCAGTGAACCAATCAGAGCAAAAAGGTACGCTACCACGTTGATTTGATGGGCACATGCACTGTTTTCTGGTTTGCATCGAGAGTACAGTAAGCTTCCATCCATGTCTTCCATTGCTAAAATGCCAGTCGCAGTCTTGTCTCTGGCTGCCCGGGTATGCGTCTCGTGCAGAAGAATTCAAGTTAAGCTATTAATAGGCTTGACGCTTCAGCCTGAGATTCTGCAGCTCTAGAACACAAGAGGCAGCTGTCATGTAAGCAAGAGGCTCAGGACAAGCCAGGGCAGGGCAGGGCAGGGCAGACTGGGACTGGGACTGGGGAGGACTCAGAGAAGCACGTCGGTCATCGTGAAAGGAAAGGCAACAACTGTACGGATACTCTGTACAAGCATCAAGCAAGCTTTTCCTGGGCTACCCGCACAATTTCCGTCCTGCATCTGCATCTGTCAAAAGAATTGGCTGCCAAGAGCATAAGAGACAAAATAACCTGGTCATCATCGGCGGACCTAGACGTAAAATTAGGCTGCTTTATTTTGATCTCCCACTTCTTTTTTCTGTTGCACATCTCCAGGGCTGTCTGGGTAGAATGCGATTCACCCACTGGGTCGCATAAGAGGTGGATTCGTATGGAGGGTTAGTTGGTATCGCGCACTGTGCAGAGCCCTTAAGAGCCAGATAACCTACCTACCTAACCCAAACCACCTCGGACATTTTTGGATAGATTTGTCCGAGATGCGAGGAGAAGTAGACGAGAGCACTAATACTCTGTGCCGTTCGTTAGTGACAGAAAACAACTTGACTTGTAAGACAACTGCCTTTCTACCGTAGGTACGGAGTACTGATGGAAGTCAAGTCGTTCTTGATCTCAGAATCTGATCTATAATTTGTCGCCGCCCCCACTCACACATGAACCATACCGAGCACTCAACCCCAACCCAAGCAGGGGCGTCACGATTGTGCTACAGTACTGTGCTCTTTTTCTCTCTCTCCCTGTGTCTTGATGGAATTCATCGACGTATCTAGTATGATGCAGCAAGAGGAATTGACTTTGATACATCGAGATGGAACCTTTGAAGAAGATGGCTTGCTGTCTCATTCGCGAGTGGTGAGGGATGTACGGATACAGATATCCATATCTAAGGTAGGTACAGTAAAGAGAGCCATGTCCTGCGCGACCATTATCATTACCTCCACTACTATCAGTAAAATTTGTGTAGGTATTTGTACTTGCATATGAAATGAATCCATACTGTACCCATCGCTATCGCACAAGGCAAGGCTAGGCTGCGCTGCTAGAGCTAGACTCAACACCTCACTCAGGTTGTCCTTGAACGCGCACGCCCCTCCCATCCACTCTAATCCTGGCCCTGGTCGAGTTCCCCACGTCGAGTCTGGTCCACCATCAAGCCGACGAGCAAAGAGGGTTCTTAGTTTGGTTTGGCTTGAGGTGTGAAGGGACCGAATTGATCGACTGCACCGAATAGCACGGCAGCTGGTGCTTCGTTCATAATTTGCATGTATGTATGTAGCTGGAGCCAGACACAAAAGAGCAAGCTGCGCGCTTTTTTGCTCTTCTCTTTACTCTCCTTCTAAACTCCATATCTTCCCTTTGATCTTGATCTGATCTTGAGAGGGAAATCATATTGGTAGTGTCGCTTTTTGGCTTCACTTTCACGGTTAATATTAATATCCTGCCATCTCTTCCTTTACTTGCACCTTCACCCTCTCCTTCGACCAGCTCAACCTCCCATGCACCCTCAGCTCTGGGACTATACAACAGGACGACGCTGTTAAAAGACAGGCCAGGATATAATCAATGTTCGTTTGATCATCAAGAACCGGACACCCACCATACCCTGACGAGGCCATTTGCTGTATCGACAACCATTCCAGGCTTACACGGGCACGAGATCTTGATCAGTCCAAACTGACCATTGTCTGTCTGTTTGTCATTTCTCAAATTTGGTCGAGACGCAAGACGACCCTCGCCTCTATCCAACGCAACACCTTTTTCGATCACGACATTTATCTATTCTTTTTAATCAACAACCAACATCCTCGTGTGGGTAAATCATATCAATCTTTGGACTTTTTTGCTGCACGACTCGGTAGTGCCGTTGAAGCCTCGCATTTTGCCGACGGACCAACCACATTCGAATACCTAATCCAGCGATATAATACAGTACAACAGCGCCAGTACTAAGTGCCCTGTAGTCGCTGAACCGCCTCATCACTCCAACCAACCCAGTCCTCCACTCGGATGGTGTCAGGTGCTGTACAGCTCTGGATTTACGTACCTTAGGCGCTGCCAGTCCAGTACGCCGAAGCACACCCCTACCAAAACCACGGACCGACGCCGTCTCCATTGAGATAAAACAGCAGAAGCGCCCTTGCTACTGCTACTGCTATTACTATTACTATTGCTATTCCCTCAAAACGAATGGGCATTATGGCGGCACTCTCGGCCCCAAGGACAATGCTGGCTCCCCACCAGCTCGACTCGGCGGCAACAGCAGCAACAACAACAGGTATGAACTTTCCCATCTCTGTCTTGTCTTTCTTTGTCTTTGTTTTTGTCTCCGTATCAATCAATATGACCGCCCATTCTTTCCTTCCCTGATTTGCCTCTTCCTCTTGCCTATACCCAGAAAGGCAATCGTTCCCCCCATCCACCCGATTGCTTTGTTAGTTTCAACCGTTTCCTCACTTCGGCTTCTCTTCTTTCATAATCAACTCATTTCTTTTTCATTCTCCGCTTTTACTACTCAATCTCCATTTCGTCATTCCCGTCTCTGCCGGAAGCGAGAAGTATCTCCGTGGACCCTGCAAAATTCGTCCAGTGACGCGATAAAAGTTAGTGGGACTTTGCTGGTTTGTCCGGCTGCCAGAGACGGCTTCTGTAAGTGGGCTCCATAGATTTGATTTGCTTTACTTTGTTGCTGAGAAAGCGAGCGTTTGGATGCAACCAGCTGGGTCTTTGTCATTTAAATGATTTATCCTTCATTTTGCTTACTGTCTCGCCTTCGCCTTCGCCTTTTTTTGGGCTGAGCATGACTTGACAAATTCATGACATCCATCCTTCGCCGGGCCTAGCCTTGGCGATTTGGGGGTTGGTCCCGTTTAATTCCCTGCTTGACTTGATCACTCGTTTACTTCTTCACCTCTCATTCTCTCGCTCACTCTCAAGTCCCATTCTATTTCTGCCTCATGCACCCCCCAGTTGATCTCTAGCCTTGTCCCAGTCAACCCGAACCCTGCAAACTTCTCCAAGTTTAGGTTATCCCTGCCTGCTGACGTCTTTTTGCTTGTGTCCTCCACAGATAAAAGTACCTCCCCGTCACCATTGCGCGCAAATCAGTTTCAGACTCTATCTTCACCGCGCAATATTAATACCGATCTGACTGAATCAATTGTTCTAGAAGAAGGTGGTGAATCCGGAAGCGAATCTGCTCTTGAACCCGTCACTCCTGTCAGCGGTCGTCATTCACAAGATTTCACCCTCCAAGGCCAGGATCTACAAGATCTTAAAAGTCTACAGTCTTACCAAGACACTTCAGTCACATCCTCAGGCGTTCAGCCTATTGCAATCCCCGGTGCCAACGCGGGCAACAATAACAAAGGTGCCTACCTCTCGCAGTCTGCAAGTCGACCACCTACCACCTACGAGCCAACTACCCCGAGGGCGACAGAACCAGAGCCTGGCAGCTCTCTTACCCGCCAATCGACTCGTGGATCTATCTCAACCGCGAGCTTCAAGCGCACCATGTCCAACTTCTTCCGTCGATCAAATTCACAAGCAAAGAACGACTATACTCCCGCGGAACCGGCAACACCGACAGTCGTGTCTGCGCCCACAGAGCCCCAGACTAATGGTCAACCGCGGGCTGCGGCTCGCCGCCGTTTCTCTATGAACCGCTCATCTGCTACTACTCGCTCCAACTCTCCCCCTTCACCCAGCGACAACGGCATCGAAATGAAGATACCACACCGCGAACGCGAATCCGACAAGGCCCTCCCTAGCCAAGGCGACTTTAAGAAGAACCGTGCTTCCACTGGATTTACCTTCCGCAATCGAGCTATTAATTTTGCTGGTGCGAATCAGAACAGTCGAGGAAATGCGAACAAGCGCCCTGAATACAACCGCCGAGCTAGCAGCTATGACGGCAGCCGCCCCAACACCCCTCTTCCACCACCCGCAGAAGGTGATGAGACTATGTATCCGCCTGAGCGAAGTGTTTGGCCTCTTCCCCCAGAGTCCGGAACTGGTGCCAAGGCCCGCCGCATGAGTTTGAGTCTTCCTGATGATTTTGCTGTGGATGTGGCTGAGCTACAAAGCGAGTTTGAATATCAACGCAAGTTTTTGGGCCGGCATGGCAAGCATCTCGGCAAGGGAGCTGCGTCAAAGGTGACCCTCATGATGCGCAAAGGATGTCCAGAGGAGCTCTATGCTGTGAAGGAGTTCCGTGGAAAATCGCATCGTGAGAGCCAGCAAGACTATGAAAACAAGATCAAGTCAGAGTTCAGCATTGCAAAGAGTCTGCACCACCCAAATATTGTCGAAACCTTTCGCCTTTGTACTGATCATGGGCGATGGAACCACGTTATGGAATACTGTTCCGAAGGTGATCTCTTCAGCCTGGTGCAAAAGGGCCACCTCAAGGGCGATGAACGTAAGAAGGACCGCATGTGTTTGTTCAAGCAATTGATACAAGGCGTGCATTACCTTCATGTCAACGGCATTGCCCACCGCGATATTAAGCTTGAGAACCTTCTCATTACCAAAGACAGCAAGCTCAAAATCACTGATTTTGGCGTGTCAGATGTGTTCTGCGGTATTCACCCCGGCGTCCGGGAAGCTGGTGGACAATGCGGTCGTAATATGGGTGGCGAGATCCGACTGTGCTCACCTGGTATCTGTGGAAGTGAACCCTATATCGCCCCCGAAGTCCTCGCCAAGAAGGAATCATATGACCCCCGGGCCCTCGACGTTTGGAGTTCCGCGATCGTCATGATTTATCTGACATTTGGCGGTGCTATATGGTCTCGTGCTGAGCCTGGCGAGCTTCATTACGACAAGCTCGTCGCAGGTTGGAATAAATGGTATTCAAAGCACCCGGAAAGCGACGCTTCTATCAGCGATAGTGATTACCCCAAATGTTACGCCCTCGACGTTGGCATGAGCCCGCCCGCCTTGCGTCGCCTTGTACTGCAGATGCTAAATCCCGAGCCCACCAAACGTATCGGCATCGACGAGGTTATCAACAATCGTTGGTTGAAGAATGTTGAATGCTGCCAGGTCGAATCATACGACGACCCGGCTTTACTCATCGACGCCACCAAGAAGGACAACTCGGCAAATGGCAACAAAAAGATCTTCTGTCATAATCACTTGCCCCCGAAGGGCATTGGCTCTCACTCTCTTGGCAAGATGCCGGGTCAGGCGGGATACTAGATGACGAATAATGAATGATGGAAAGGCATTTGAAATGTCTCATAACCGCCAAATACACTATCACTCTGACTACACATAAGAGTGCAACGGATTCGCACTCGATTACACACGCATGCACCGATATAGGCGTTTAGGTCAGGGCTACGGACGAGGTGGCTCGCATGGTCCGGAGTTGATGGATTTACTGTCGTTTCTCTTCTTTGACAGACCAAACTGTACATAGGTTACAGACTTTTTCTTGTTTCTGTCGGATGATGCTGTGCTGCAACCGGCAGAAATGTATGACTTTTTACAAGCAAGCAGGCATAATACCTCCGACACGATAACCTCTTGCTTTTTCGAAATCCGATGGAACATGAATATACAACATGCTGCTCTACCAATGAAGAGAAGGGTGAAAAGATGATCACGGGGGATTATCAGTTCACACCATTTTGTTCTTTTCTGATCACTTAGATGATGCAGAGAGAGAGAGAGAGATCCGCCCACTTGAAAGATTGTACATGTTGCATTACATACACGTAGGTACTGGTATATCTGGGCTTGTCGCGACAGTGGTCTGCTGCCACGGTGAACAGTTTTTTCTGCAGACTAGCACAATAGATTTGCATCATTGTATCCAAAAACATGTTCGTTTCTGTGCTGTGTTTGAGTATCCACAATAGAAGGGCCGTTTTCGGGAGGACTATGCGCTACGGTCGTAATACTTGACGTCTTGACGTCTTGATCAGGTGTTTTGGCAAGTATTGCGTGACATTGGAGCACAAGCATTATCTAGATAAGAATGATTTGATGTGAGATCTATCACATGGAAGGGATATAGAAGTATTCGACTTGTTGATATCGTAGCAGGTTTTATCACATGTTTTGGTCTTGGAAAACCACCAGTGCCAACCTATTCATCCGGGATAAATGAATGGATAAATATACACTCACACGTGGTGTGTACAGCCAGGTGTGTGATTCCATGGGCTGGGCTGGACTCCCTAGGTCATACGTGCCCATGAGATGCAAAGATGCCACGCGATGGATGTATGTCTCATCAATAGGCTGTAAGTAGAACCCGGCAATGACCGAGAAGGATATCGAAGTGAGGGATATACCACGGATCAGCCATGCACATGGCTGGCTGACCGAGCAGTAAAGTCTTTGATGAGGCGTTGACCAACCTGTAAGGGCTTGATCTTGAAGGTCTCGGGCTGTCAGGGTCTAGACAGGGTCTTGGCTTGGTATCACAAAGGAACAGTGTTTGTTTACCTTGGCGTCGGCGCGTGATGCTTCGATGTCGATAGTGAAACGGTTATATGGTGTTACACCAAAAGACGATTTGATGCTTGGCAGGCACATACTGTTCCCATCTAATGCACCTCGACGGAAATAACGTGCCGAGTCACAGCCTGCAAGAACTAGCACACCGACTCTGATACGTAACGTACAGTACAGTAAAGCAGTAAAACCTCTCTCTCGGATCGACATGCCGAGATCAAGGAAGGATGATTCGTGCCCGCATTTGTAGTTCGTTCGTGGGGGGAAATGTTACAGTAAGTACTGTGTCTACCATTCTTCCAACTGGGATCCTTGTGCGACATATGGAACAAGACTCGTGATTGCTGGGTTATGTTGGCGATGCTGTCTTCCCCAGATGTAACGTGAGAGAAGCGCGGGGAAAAGGGAATGGCTGAAGAGAAGGTTGTGGACGGGCGTGAGGATAAGACATTTCATTTTGATGAACAGATACTTCTTAGCTTTGTGTTGTTCTGAGTTTATTTGGTGGAAATAAGAAAGGATATCGTGCCGTGCCGTGCCCTGTTCCTATACTCTAACGCAGTTAAAGGTTGAAGTCACGTTCTTTTTGTTAAGCTTAGATTGACTGACATTAAAGCTAATCTTGCGTTGAAGTTCGGGAGGTTCCGTGGCCAAGATGTCAAAAGTGCCGACTCGGCCGGGGGGTTGAACATGGAGATCGGCCGAGTGTGGACCCATATTTTGTACCGGTCGCCGGGCTCTCTTTACTTTACGGTTCTCGATTTTGTATTGGAGGGTTTTTATCGGTACTGTCAAGGTCCTCTCATAAAACTCAAATTTCAAGACGGTTTCTTGCGTAGATGAGTCTCTTTATTTAAGATTTGCTGCGCCCGTTAAATGATCCATGCTCTTCATCTGAAACTACACTATACTATACTATCCGTTGGAATATCGGGAAACTCTCCATCCTGGCTCCGAGTTACCTTAATTAAACCTTATTAAACATCTACATCTGCTTTGGGACTTGGGTTCTAGAAAACGTTTCAGATGCGTCGTCAACTAGCAAAGGGATAATAATCCCTCCAATCGAAGTAGCAGTTCGGAAGGTGGAATACCGAAATACGATGACCAAAAGTGGGATATTGACTCAACTGCCGTGCAGATGAATTTGTATTTGGATATGAAACTATCAAACTTCCGAATTTGCCGGAACCAGACTGATGGGACCAGGGACTATAATAAGACGCTGTCGCAATGATTGTGCCAGATCCTACTTGATATCTCATCTCTTCACCTTACTACTGGATAGTATTCATTCACTTCTCTGTCACTCTTTACTTTGCTATAAATATAAATCCTTCAATATGCGTGCTGCTACCCTCATCACTCTTCTCGCCTCAGTGGTCTCTGCTGCTCCAGCCGACGACCGTTCTTGTTCCAAGACCAAGAACATATGCCCTGTTGTCTTTGACGGTCGAGTTCCCTCCAATGCATCTCTGACCGATTTCGACAAGGAGAACGGTGGTGGTTGGAACCCTTACAACCCAGGCTTCGTTAAAGGAAACAACATCTCATGGTCTGAGATCCTCAAGCTTCCTCAAACCACTCGATCTCGTTTCGACGCTGCTGGCAAGACTCTCCCACTCGAGGTTACCATCAGCGATGAGAGCATCTTCATGAAGCAGGTTGGCTTCCGCCGCGCGGGCCTGCAGTTCAGCAAGGACAAGAACGAGGGTAGCCCTGGCTCTGAAGGTATCAAAACCCTTCACTTCAGTCTCATGCAGGACGAGAGCCGGCCTCTTAATCTCAGCCACGAATACCTAGTAAGTTTATCCAAAGATCCTGTCTTTTAATCATTTCTGACAACAACAGAATGTCTGGCATGAGAAGGCCGATTTCTCTGGAAACCAGTTCCAGTTCCAGGCTGGTACCATCATCGGCCAGAGCCACGCCGCCGAGACCTGGAAGCTGTTTGATGAGAAGATGAAGCTACTCTGGGAGACTCCCATGCTCAAGGGCAAGTGGCAGAACTTTGCCATTACTCTCAACTTCAACAAGAAGTAAGCCATTAGCAAGCAACACAAACGAAAGAGCATAACTAACAACTACAGCACCATCCAAGCCTACTACTCTGAGGGTTCTAAGCCTCTCAAGGTCGCTACCAAGCCTATCGCTCGTGACTTGAGCGGACAGGGACAGTACCAAATCGGTATGCTCAAGAAGCCTACTGGTACCGACGATGTTGCCAATGCGGGATTCCAGGAGGACAATTTGAACGAGGGACTTATCTATGGTGGTATCTTCCTCGAGGATAGCAAGAACGACTGCATCTCTCTTTAATTCCTCTGACAGGGTAACTGGTATTTGCAATTCGTGTAATCAACATCAGCAAGCCGTTTAGGGCGAAGCGAAGAAATTCCTCATACCAAAGCTCTTCCTGTCTATACAACCATCTCTTTTCTCCCTCTCATCCTTGATCTGCCAGAAGAGACTCCCATCATAACATGCCCTTAAATCCTCCCTGCGTACAAGTCCATCCTTTTGAAGCAAGACGTAGGTCGTCCACCACTCCATGAATGCAAAACTCCAACCTGCTGGATCTGCCGCGCATCGGTCCTTCTTCCATAATCTCAGCAGATCATCAGCTGTCAATCCTCCTTGGCCTGAAGAATCGAACCGCTCAAACATCTGCTCGAACCTTTCATGGTTGAAGTTTCCGTCATAGTCGTATATCCCTGTATCAGAACCGTGCTTGGCTTTGTTGATGTCATTGACGTAAATACGGAACATGGGATCTGGTATCCAGCTATGTCCTAAGCGTGTCGGATACGAGAAGAAGATTGGAATGAGGAGAGAGCCTATTGAGAAGAAGAGGCCAAAGCCGAGCTGACGAAACCCTCTGTAGACGTCCAATGGCCAGATGACACCATCCGAGTCGCGGTCCCAGAACTGGACGTGTTTTTGTAGAGGACTGAGCTTTTCAGAATGAGGTTCACAAACTTGAGCATATGTGCTCTTTTTGTAATGACGATTGACCCCGTTGGTCGCGGTGTGAGAGTTGCGTGTGTCACTCTCAGGCATCTTGACATGCAATGCACACTGGCAATGTCTGGCTGAGCAAGTTGTAGCAAAGATAGAGGAGATGATTGATAATGGAAATGTTATGGTGGTTCAAATGTTGAGCTGAACAATATCGTTATGCTGTGGCTAACCTGAAGATGCCGTTTACGATCAATTGACGTAATTGCGAGACACGGATGTTCAGCATGTGATCATGCCTGCCTACCTTACTGTACTGCATCTGTCTTGCGAGAATGATATCAATGACCCGCAGATCCTGCAATAACGCATATGCATGAGTATTTCGACATTCCCGCATGCTTATCTGGTGCCAAAAATTGTTAGTAGTAGAGCTGAATAGTGGTTGGTGTTAACATGGCCTATGCATCAACTCGATAGGGAAAAGGACTAAATGGAAACATCCATACTACTTTCTCCTAACATCTTCCTTTGCTGTCGGTCACAAGATGACAGAAGTTATCGTTATCCACCAGTCCAAATACACCTATCAGAGTTCCCATCGACTGAATTCACTGCGTCATGAGAGCCTCTGTTTAGGCCTTCCACTCCGCGATGCCATACCTCGCTCGCTCTTTCCCAGGGACTGTAACGATACGGTTAAAACCTTAAACTGGGTCCCAGGTTTCAGTGTGGTTTCTGCGATACTTTTTTCATGCTGAGAAACGTGAGTCTCGTCGATGGATGCGGGTGCATGGCCTGCCTAAGGCCCCAGGGACTGGTCGCGACCAGATAGAACATAAAGCAATTGTACCTTGAAGATGAGCGTTGTTTCAGGTAGAGAGCTCTTAGATTGAACAGTACAAATTCTTTGAAAGGGACGGGATCGAGCATGGTATGTTCAAACTTTGAATGGCTAGCCGAAACTTCTGCCAGTTTGGGATGAGATGAAGTATCCATGTGAATATTGGTTAATTCAAGAGACTGGATACGGTATCTGTCAAAGTTGATATGGGAGGTGTAAGCATTGAAAAAGACAGAAACAATTGCCTCTGGGTAAGTTCTGTTAGAAGATATCTTTAGCAATCACAGGCAATGAGTGATGATGATTATGACTTGGGAAGGAACCATGCCTGGAGAACAAAGTTGTGCCTGGAATGGGGAAGGCACAAAGGCAGAACGCGACTTCCTTCCTTACTTCAGTGACAAGACGAAGTTTTAATATTTAGCAGGCAGGTGCACTTAAAGAAGGAACTGATAATGGATTAGTACCTAGTTGCGGCTTCCATATCGCCACCAAAAGAAATCACCGAGGTTGACATGAATGCTTGAGAGTCCTTTATTCATCACCCTCGACACAGTCATAGGCATTGATTCTCAACCATATATTCAACACTCTGTTGCCCAACAGACCTTACCACGCAAACATGCCCTTCAAAGGAACTTTGTTCCACGTCATGCCCTCTTCATGCCCAAGGTCGGATGTCGATAAACTTATCGCATCCATAGTCGACTTCCCCTCATCATCAAGTCTATGTCCGATATAAAAACAAGAGTGATCTGCAACTGATAGGGGCTCATCGGCACGGTCGAAACGAAACCTTCCAACGGATGCCTGTTTGCCATCTGTATAATGGAACAGAAGCCCCGTGATCTCGGCCTTGCCCTTAACCCCTATTTCCCTACAAGCCACAACTTGCCAAACCTCATCAAGAGAAGCCTCTGAATTACTGGGATTTTGACCTGCGCCTGTCCAGCTTGACGCTTCTGTCGGAAGAGGATCATTGCCGCAGCCACGTACTGTCGGGGCTGCGAAGACGGAAACACCCTCCACACTTCGATTGAAGAATACTCGCATCAGAGATCCTGTGGAGGAGGTCTTTGCTATGCATTTCCACTCGCTGTGACTTGTTTCAGTTCTTCCCATGACCAGAGTTCGTGAATAACTGGTCAGCAGCTACAAATGTGTCAACTCAAGTTTGCAGCAGAAGGAGAGTCTCATTCTTACACCTACGGCAACTCCTTGCGGAGATGAAACTGGATCTTGTCGCCTTCCATACGAATCGTTACCTTGATCGGTTTCGTTCTCTGTTCGTAGCCAAACCTGTTCAACTTTCTCTCCGGGGTTCAAAGGCTGATAAACCCAGTAAAGATTTGACGTTGAAGAAGCATTACCCAACTTTACAGTCGGACTCCTTGCCACTGCATCGTCTTCAGCCTCTCGGTAAAAGTCGAGAGACTCTCTGGTCTTGTGTACATGGATATCTATGAGGCGGTCGCCGTACCAACACGCGGAGTAGGCGACGATGTTGGGTTCATTGAAGTCCAAAGCTACCATGTGAGCTTCTACCGTCATGCCCAGACTTGTAGAAGGCCACGTCACGGCATGATAGGCGGTATTCTTCAGTGATTCCGGTGTCATTGGATACGACCAGCAGATAGTGGGCTGCAGCGGGAGGGCTGCAATACTTCGCAATTTAAGGCCCTGATTCCCTGTGAGAACAACGCCCAGACTGCTGATAAGCGGGGAAACTTACATCATGAGAAAATGTGAGTATTGGACTTGTTATCGGGAGTGTACGCCACCAGCCTGATTCTCTCTCTTCAGCTGATGCGACCACTGGATCGTTGAAGATTTGTCTGATCCCCAAATGGTCTTCTGAGAAATAAAGACAGTTATCTTCGCGGCTTTCCGAGGCCTTCCAGAGTAGTCGGCTGCCAGGTTCTGGCGCATTCGATAATGAGGCTATATACTCGTTACCGTTTAGGCTGAAGTGTTTTGCCCAGACATCTTTTAATGGCTCAATCGTGCACCGACCCGGCCGACGAAGACAAGACAGCGAAGCAATCGCATAATGAAGGATGAGATGTTTGTTGATTAGTAACAATATCTCTGTCGGGACTCTTGGGAACTCGTCGCTCATGAGCTGGTTCAAGTGGTTCAAAATCCACTCCTCTCGCCTTTTGTCTTCTTTGGCCGACGGTTCGTAAGAGTATCGAGCTACATCCAAGAAATCGTTTTTCTGGAGACCAAGGCTTGAGGCAATGGCAGAGCATTCAACATGATAACCTGTTGTTGCACAAGCATTGTGATTGCTTTCGCATCGCTTAAAAGTTGCGAATAGCTTGCTGTCATCAAATGAAGCTCCGAATGCAAAGGTCGAAGACTCAGTCCCTCCAGATGACCCTGCCACCAGGTAATGTTAGTATGAATCACAGCTTGATTTTCATTGTGCAACTTACTGGCTATGACGATCTCGCCTGTCTTGATCACGAAACGACACCATCCACATCGCCTACTGACACAATAAGAAGGGAAAGGTATGAGAGGAGGTATGGGATTCACGTAATTCAATGCGTGCCATTCCCACTCTTGAGCTGACTCTTCCCACTCCAGATCCATGACTCTGTTGATTTCTTCTGGGCTTAGTCCACCAATGTCAGCCATGTTTGACGACTGTGGGAGACACAAGGGAACGAGGGGATACAGCCAACCAACAAACTGCGCTGATGTAGGTAGTTATAACCCGGGCTGGATTGCGATAAGTGAATAACTCATCATTTACGATATCACGTGGTGCAGTCCAACGTAAGAAACCATCATAATAGTTGTGAATATGCCAAGATGATGGATGGAGTGGTGGGCGAATAGAAATGGGTTGCTTCTACCAAGTAAGCTGACAATCTTTTACATTGGCGAGTCGCATGACTTCACGTGGCTTGAAGTTTGACTTGCCGTTTCTTCCGCCCTGTCTTTCATTCTATCTATCAACCTATCTATCTGGTTACGAATTCACCGAATTGTGGTATTTATTGCTTTGCGTGTACATTAAGTGACACAGTTGCGCCAAGACACAACCCCCCGATTTCCAGTCCTGGACTCTGAGCCGTGCCAGGCGTATATATAACCATCTGGCTGATCCAAGTAGATGAATCGCAGTAGCTGAGAACAATATATAAGACTGTGAGTACAGAAGTGATGGAGAAGAAAGTGCCAAGTAACGAGTAAATTCGAAGTGTTTGTATTAAAATCTAAGATTGTATAAATTTCTCGTAAATATTCAACAGATGTGAACTATTAGACCAAGATCTCGAACTTATCGCCTTCGTACGCGGGCCTGGACCAAGAGAGATCATGTTGGTGACCGTGAACAGTCTTAAGCGATGTCTCCCCAACGTGTGACCTCTTTCCGTGAAGAAGTAGTCGTAATCGTTGGTTCACCATTTGACATCACTCTTCGTCCGTGGCTAGTTTTGAGTCGCTTTCAAGGCGCCGCATGGTAACCGATCATAGATCTGCGTATAGTCGTGATTCCAGGGGCATCTCTTGAACAAACCAGTCTGTTTGCCTGTCATGGATGTCGACATAGCTTGGCGTGCAAGAATTCTAAAAGCCCGTGCTTTCAGCCACGGACCGTTTCAGTTCCAGGATCAAGACAGTTTCTTTTGCATCATGTCGGCCAGTTCATCCAATAGCTCGACAGTCTCAGCAGGGCTGGCAATCCAAGCCGTAGTTCCGACACTTCGTGCTTTGAAGTCATTGGAACCAGCACTCAGAAATTGATCGCCTACGTGCAGTGTGTTCTCACCACGGATAGCGCCGCCGTTCTCTTTACTTCCGAACCATTGCTGGCAAACTGTCACACCCCAGCTCTTGTCACCAATGTCGACGAACACGTCGTTTCCGCCGTTGAAGGCACAGAACGGTACACGGCGCGATTGGCTTGCTACCGATGGTGGAATGGGTGGAGAGCTCGGGCGGTGCTTGGTTGGCCGTTCCTCACTGGAACCAAGGCTGCTAAGCTCGAGGATACGCTGAACGATGAGGACAGTCTCTTCAAGACTCTCACGTGCGATACGAGTTCCTGGTTCCTTGGGAATAATTCCCACAGCTCGATCCTTGCGCATGATCATGGCAGGCAAATTGAGGTTGTTAACGCAATCACGGAGGGCACTCTCGGCAACATCCAGCAATCTTGTAATGTCAGCGTCTGACCATGAGGCCATTTCGGGAGTCAACCACTGAGTGCGTGGGACAGGAGCTAGTTTGTGAGGCGAAGACGGCGAGTACTCGAACAAGTAGTTTGCTTCACCTCCCATAATCACAATGTTCTGCTTCTGCAAGGGGTTCAGATCGTTCGACTCTGCAATGGCTTCAAGCAATCCGTGAAGGCGTTCGTAGTAGCGATCAGCAGAGGTGTAACCGGCAGCTGTAACAATACCAATCTTGATGTTTTTGCGCAGAAGGTCTACCGTCTGTTAGCATTCAGCTTTCAAGATATGACAGCAAGCTTACCGAGGAGGCGGGGAATCACAGGGCTTGTGGGCTCCAAATTGAAACCATCATCGTACAGTGTCACGTCACCATCGAACGTGGCTAGTTGCAGAGATCCATTGGTCACAGCCATAGACTGAGCTGAGTTTAGGATTTGGCGAACATCGTTGAAAGACGGAGCAACAAATCTTCGAGACGAGATGTACCGTTTCCTGTCCTGGTACTTGAAAGCTGCTTCAAGGGGGAGGCGAGTGAAGAAGGGGCCCGCAGTTGGTATAAGCATCCGCAACTTTGACGGGAGCATACTATCATCTTGCTGGCGGCTAACTACTTAGAGTCAATACGTTTCTTTTCAAATTGCAAGAGTGGATTCATACTATGATCATCAATCATGACCTCTACATCACGCATGATCTCGGCATAACGACGGTGAGCTTCCTCAGCCATCTGTGTAACACTGGGGCCATCTCCAAACACACCCGTGGGCTGCGAGTACAGGACGAAAGGAACAGCTAGAAGACCCTTGACCCATTCTGAAATTCGAGTTAGTTTGGTTCGATATGAGTGAAACATGAGCAGTAATGAGGGTGATGCATGTGATGCGGGGACGATACTGAGCGATGTGTCAAAATTCGAGGATATGTGGCTGTACTACAGCATTTCTTGGAAAGTGCAGAGAAAGTTTGGTTGATCATACCGATAAATTGGTCTCTTCGGTGTGTCTTGAGAGCATCTGTTTGCCATGATGAGCTTGTGTAACCATGAGAGTTTGGGGGACAAAGGCAAGGAGTTGAGATTGAGACTGATGTGGGGGTTTATCAACGGTTGACTTACACTCGACACGGTAACGGGTTGTCATGGCTGAAGAGTAGTGAGATTCAAAGTTAAAGTTTGTGATGAGGTCAGTGTAAAGATACGAGTTGTATGAGAGAGAAGAAGAAGAGGAGGAGCAGGAGAGGGAGAAGAAGGAAGTCTTTGTGTTGGATAAGCTGAGGGGAGACGACAGGAGGCAAGACCAGACCAGACCAGACCAGACCAGACCAGACAAGACAAGACAAGACAAGACGGTGTGACTTGCCTGACCTACCTGGGCAAGGTAGACAAGGTAGGTACCTCCCTAGACTCGCACCTTCCCTGCAAAGGGCTCCAAATACGGGCGACGAATGGACGGGGGCCGCCGCGGCGTTGAGGGTTGAGCGGGGAACGCCGAGAATGCCCCAAGCTGTAAAGGAAAAGCCATTTGATTGGTTCGGGACATTGATTGAACCCCTGCCCTGCACTACACTACAGCACGGCATTGATATGCACTTTGTCCCAAGATAATCTGACATACCCTAGACTAGGTATTTACTTTTAAGCCTCAGAACCCGTCACTTTCCACCCGATAAGTCTGTGTCTCACTCACATGAATATTGAGATAACCATGTCGTATCGAGGGGAACTCATGACTGAGACTCTCCCAAGTCAGCTTGATATTAGCAGAAGGAACGTCAGGTCTTGACCATAACCGCTACGAATTACGTAGTGAAGCTTGACAATGAAGACGGCACATCTCATACTGATTCCTCATCGCGGCACTGACATCATTCTATCGAGGGAAACCAATTGTTTCCCACTTATAAGCACGGCCTCAATGTCGATCAACACGGACGAAAGAACTAAAGACCTTCGTTGTCAGGTGGGTAACAGAAGAATCGTCTTCTAAGGCTTAGGTTACTAAAATAAAGTAGCCAAAGAGCGGATCTAAACTGGCATAAGACAACTAAACTATTTTGTCCCTTATGCTTCTAGCGGTCATTTCTTCTGACACCCTGAGAATTGTGCACGCCTTCAATGGCTAGCTGAAGCTACTAATGCATGTCTTACATTAATGTCAATAGTAAACAGCCTCAAAAACCTGTTGGAAGGGTACAGGACGGGCTGAGATGCGGTGGAACAGAAGAGAGTTGATGAATGGACATGGCAACCTGATGGACATAAAACCCCTTCATCTGCTCCTCTGAGCTGTACGGCATTTCCCAGTTTCTGGTACTATTCTACCCGAGCATGATATTACTGGCCAAATTATTCCGATAAAGGCTAAAGAAAAACCTGGGAATACTGCGATCAAGAATCTGGAGATGAAGGCAGAACTTGGGAGTTCTCTCCCACCAGGGGACAAGCATGTAAGTCCAATCCCGAACATAACATCTCCAAGCTTCAATAGCTTATGCCTTCCAAGGCAGTCAGTGTGTATATACCAACATGGAAAGATACGGTCGCATGGGCGAGAAGAGAGCCAGAACTGATCTCCCAGTTGAAGACCGGCTACCCTCGATTCTTCGTTCCGCTTGTCGTAGGTCAGCTTGCTGAACAACTACTTCAGCGGACCTCTTCGGAATCCACTTCAGATGAGCTTCCGCCTGAGTTAAGAGCTTTGTTAGCTGAGCCTGGCCGATCAGTTATGCTATTACCGGCAAGTCATCATGCAAGGATGTGTGACGAGTATCTGAACGCCCAAGATAAGGGACAGACGTTTGTCTTACAAGCCGACTTCAATAAGGGGGTTAGGTTTGCGAAAGACTTGACAAAAAACTGCACTCTTGACAATATTTATGCAGTAGTCTATCCACAAGGCTTGGCTGTGGAAGCCAAAGCATTCTGGCAACACACCGGATTTGGAGTCTCGAGTCGGCGGGCCACGTACTGGTTGGAAAATGCACCCTTCTTGAGCCATGCCAGCAGGTCATATATGAACCATCTCCCAGACGAAGAGGCCTCAGAATCCAAACTTGAGGTACAAAAGCGGATTGCCGACTTATTCAGTACCGACACTAATAGGCTGGATGTGGATGACGTCTTCCTGTACCCGAGTGGCATGTCCTCGATCAGCCATACTGCGGAACCCATTCAACATCTCAATACAAATGGAAAAGCGACTGTCGCAATTTTCGGGTATGTAGACCTGGAGTCGGGACTTGGTACTTGACCTAACAGTGACACAGCTTCCTCTATGTCGACACTTTCAAAGTTTTAAGCAAGATCTACGGGTTCAACTGCAAGCTCTATGGTGCTACTCCATCCGATCTAGATAATCTCGAGGCAGATCTGGCTGATGGACTACAGCTATCTGCTCTCTTCACCGAGTTTCCAGGCAACCCGCTCCTCGGCTCAGTAGACCTTGAACGTCTACAAAAACTCTCCATTGACCACGATTTCTTATTCGTAGTAGACGATACGGTCGCAACATCAGTAAACGTCGGGATTGTATCGTACTGCGATGTTGTTTGCACGAGCTTGACAAAGATGTTCAGCGGTAGTTGCAATGTCATGGGTGGCAGTGCAGCGCTCAACCCACAGTCAAGACTTTTCCCGACTATGTAGCAGCTTTTGAAGGACGGATTTTGTGATACATACTTTCCTCTGGATGCAATAGTCATGGAGAAGAACAGTGCTGATTTTGAACAACGAGTCATTACGGCAAGTGAGAACGCGGAACGAACAGTAAAGATACTCTGTAACCATCCATCGATCGAACAAGTATATTATCCGAAAGGCAACCCAACTCAAAACATCTACGAAAGATACAGGCGACCAGGAAAGGGCTACGGTTATTTGCTCTCTATTCGCTTCAAGACACCAGAAGCTGCGATAGCGTTTCATGATGCCCTGGACGTAGCCAAAGGTCCAAGCCTGGGGACCAACTTCACTCTCTGCTGTGCATACACACTCTTCGCACACTTTTCCGAGCTGGACTGGGCCGCCAAGTATGGTGTAGTTGAGCACCTGGTTCGGATCAGCGTCGGGATCGAGAGTCAAGAGGCTTTGGATGAACTTGTCAAGACAGCATTGGATGCAGCCTTACATGCCCTTGGAACGAGGGAAGAGTTTAGCTATATGGCTGGTAAACTGTGATAGATATGGGTAATGATTTAATAATGAACTAGTTTCGACTACCATCTCAGTGGTAGTGTCAAATGTTATGTATCACATTGCTACCATATACCATAAGAGTGCCGTTCGCCCCGCTGGATGGGTTGATCTTGGCATCGTATTTGTTCCAAGATCTAATCTCCAGACACCCGGTAATAGGGTTAGTGATATCGCCAAGGATAATCTCGTTAGTAGGGATTCTCGTGGAGATCCGAGATTGTACGTAGGGCTGACATGGGCTATTCCTTGGCTTGTAGTATACTCAGGGCCATCCTTCTGCAGCATCATCATAACTTCCTTGCTTCTTACGTTGTGAATGGTTAGGTTCTGGTTCGTCTGCGAAGAAACACTGGTTAGACATTGCAAACAATATGTCTGCGCAAAATGATCTGGCCAACTGGATCAAAGAGATGGCTTATTCACACTGCTGTAGCCCAGTTGAAAGCTTTAAGCAACCTTGCTTCTACTTCAAGCCAGAGTCATCGTCAAGACCACGAATCCTATCAAGTTGCCTTCTTCCTACCACAAGATCCTAGTATCTGTTTGTGTGTCTGAATGAGACTCAATACCTAACCATGCGTCTCCTCCTCTACTTCGCCAAGATGTCCCTTGTTCTTGCCTGCACACTCGTCATCTGCAAGAGCCACCACTGAGCAGACCTAAGCTACATCACCGGCCGTGCTGTCGACTAGACTCCCAACAGTGACCAGACTTCTAGGTCTTCCCAGGCAAGCAACTACAATAAACACGATTAACAGCCTAGCGTCTCAGCCAGTGTGTTGCTGCAGTATTTTCTCGATAAGAAAGGCGACCCAACAAACGAGTTTAGTACAAGACGGTCGAGTGATCATGTTCCTTTATGACCAACGCTTTCATGTTACTATAAAAGGTCTCGGCATCACTGTTCATGGGTCGAACGAGTTGGTCTGAACCTGGAACTAATTTTTGAATTTACCTTTTGACTATCTGATTCGAGGGTTGCAGCCATCTCCAATCACCGTCTCAAGTCTCTCTCTCCTGCCTGATGGTGCACTCGTTTCTTTTCGTATCTGTCGTGCTCTCGTCGCTTCCTGTCGGCACTCCTTTGCCATCATGATAAACACCTCGTCAAATAACCTCCCAACCAGCTATCCTATGCCAATCATACCCACGGCACTCTTTCGGAAGGTCCGCCACTAAATGGGTTCGTCCATCATTGTTTGCACGTTCTAAAATCTGTTTCTTTTGATATGGGCTCAACACGTCTCTTGGTCTCCGGGGAATCTTTACTCCTGCCCTGACATGAAAGGAGAAGGGGATATAACAAAGGGGGTAGAAATAACTTCAATAACTTATTTTCTCTCAACCATCAAGTCCGCCACATTAGCTGGCACCTCCGTTCTGTGCGCCTAGGCTGGCAGCCATGGCGGCAGCTTGCTGCTGGGCGAGAAGCTGTGCTTGCTGCGCCTGTTGGGCCTGCTGCGCAGCAATCTCTTCGGCCTTGACCATCACGTTCTGAATAACGTTCTGGTCATCAGCTGTAAGGTGCCCGGCCAAACCGCCATAGAATTGGGGTTGCTCTGCTTGCATTTCTAAACAAAATCAGCGATGTACTGTCGTAAGTGCGCATTCAACCTACTCATTAACGTGTTGCGGAAGAGCTGGTAGGGTTCAATCTTGTCGAGCGGTGACTCGAGTAGAACAGAATCCTCGCCGAGATCATCTTCTTCGGCGTCATCGATAGCTCGGCTGAACTTTTGGGCCTGGTTTTGTATTAGCAATGATCACGAACACCGCGATTAGTGCGTGCTGAACGTACCTCCTCGTTGAGGAAATTAAGGTAAGCAGTGCTCTCGTCCTTGGACTCAGCCGTCTCGCCGGTCTCTTCCTCCTCTTCGGCGTTCCAGTTGGCCCCATCGTCATCCCACTCATCCTCCTCACCATAATCGTAAGTAGACTCGAGGTGGAAATCATCGCGCAGAGCCTCGTCACGGTCTGTAATTTGTTAGTTTCAAATCTTTTCCAAAATTTCATTGGACTTACTCTTTTGGGCAGCAGGGAGGGAGCGGAACAGCTCAGTAATGCCCTGAAGCAATCTCGGCCAACCAACAGACACACTTTGTGGGACGTGCTCAGGGTTGAGGCTAAGAAGAGCTGAGATAGCAACGATGCACAGCTTCTTGTCGTGGACACGAGTGAAAGCTGTCATGCTGCCAAACCAGAGGCTGAAGAAACGGTTTGTCCAGCCCTTGTTCTCAAGAACCTGGAGTGTGAGAAGAGGGTTGTAGTGGATCGAGTTGATCACCATCTCCATCAGGTGAATGCGATAACTCTTGACCTTGATATCCTCGTTGGCTAGAATGGTCATGGCAATGTTAATGAAACCTTCAACGCAGCTATCAATCTGGCCCTTCAAGCTAAGCATCATGGCCTCTGCCAACTTGCAAGCACATATTCTCTCGACCCCGCCCTGGATACTGTCGGTGAACATGTCGGCAACCATGGAGTAAAGGGCTTGAGTATACTCGGGCTTCTGAGCCAACTGAGGAGCACCAAACTGAACAAAGTTGTCCAGGGCTGGCAGCATATCCTCAAGGTAGTACTCAGCACCCGCCTTAAAGGTAGTGTGAATCAGCTCAAAGGCCTGCCACATAGTTGGAGAGATAGACTTGGCGGCGAATGTGCAGCTATCGATGATTTCAAACACTTCGTTATAAAGATCATAAAGCTTATTCTCCAGGGTCACCTTGATGACAGGCATGAGGACAGCCTCGATGTGGAGCAGGACATCAGGAGTGCTCTCAAGAGTGAGGATCAAAGTACCAATAGTTTGCAAGACACCAAGGGCAGTGATGCTCTTGTCATCGTATTCGTTGTAAAGTTCCCCATCATCGCCAACCTTGCTCTCTTTCTCGAGAAGCTCACGAACGATCCTCATGTAAGTATCTCGGAGTTGTTCGCTGAGAGCCACTGCGAATGGAGTGAGCTCAGTAGCAAAAACCTCGACGAAATCCTCCATGACGTTTGCGAGCGCATCGATATCGGCTTCGTTGGCGAGCTTGAGAAGCTGCTGCATGATGGTGGGGATATTCTGTTGCATGCTCGTTCGGATGATGTCGTGTCGGATAAGAGGCTGAAGAGCGAGCGCAGCGGTGACACGGACGGGGAGGGCAGGATCAGCCATGCAGTCCAGGATGTGTCGGTAGATGGTGAGGAGATTGTTTTGATCCTGGAAGTTAAGCTGCTCGAATTTCTCGATGGTGTCGCAAGCGCGAGCACGGAGATAGCCCTGCGAGCTAGTAAAGTCAGGGAAAACATAACGAACAAGGAAGTATTCAACCTGGTCCGCAATGGGACTCTTTTTGCCCAGGATAACAGGAGCCAAAGTAGCGATCATGCGCAAGGCACCCTCCTTGGCAATGTGGTTCTTCTTGTCATCTTCGGCCTGCTCATAGTCGTTGACTACGGCGTTGACAAACTTGAGGATCTCGAAAGTCTCCTTGCGGCGGTTCTTGGTGAGGTTGACAAGGAAGTTTGTGGCTGCGACATCAGGAGCGGACGCCTCCTCGAAGTAGTTGAGCTTTCGGTGAAGATACTCATCGGGCTCATCCTCGAATTGCTCGACATCCTCCTCGGTAAGGCAGAGGACGGGGAAGACGAAGTGAGTGACCAGGTTGGTAAGGTGAGGCTTCAGGTGTGCCCACATCTCCTTTGGACGGACTGACTCGTCGAGGAAAACCAGAGTGTATGAAAGACAAGGCCGGCTGAGCCAAGAGGTTTTGGCGACCCATTTCTCGATCTCTTGGAGGTAGTGCTTGAGAATTTCGGGAGCAATGTTCGCAGTGAAGTCCTTGGCGAAAGCAAGCGCTTCTTCGCCCTTGCCTGGGCTGGCAGGGTTGCCGTGTCTGAAACCACCATGTTAGTGCTAATTCACCGATGCCGAGAAAGTTAGGATAGTCGTACCGAATGAAGAGACGGTTCAGGTTGAAGAAAGCCCATTTCTTGGCCTTCCACCAGTGATGCTTCTCGCGCTCGTGCTGGTCACCCTGCATGGCACTGGCAGGGCAGGTCTTGGAGACGGTGTGCAGGAAAACAGTACACCAAGCGATGTTGACATCGCGCTGTCGCAACGTGGGGGAAAGTTCCAACTGCGAGGAAGATCAGTATATCTTTTGTTAGAGAACATAGGCAATGTTTCATTGGAAGCGTACCCATGTCGCATGCTTATAGGCCTTCAAGGCAAGGTGAAGCATCTCGCCAGCCTCATCGCTCTCCTGGTTCACCAACTCGTTGCAGATAGCCAGAAGACGAGGGAAGCTTGCCTCGACGATCTTATCAAAGTGTTGTCGGTCGTCGGAATCGGTCGACTTATAGCGGAAGGCACGGCAGATGGCAAGTAGACATTGCAGACCAGCAAGAACGGAGCCTGGGTTATTTATATTCAGGAGTTCGAGAGTGAAGTCCATAAATCTTGGCCAACGAGCGGGGAAGTCATATTGGAGGATTCGCTGAAGGACGGGGATAAGCTGCTGGCGGACGAGGCCTTCGGAGGCAGCAAGAATCGGCAGAAGGCGGTCTCGCACACGAGCCTTCTCATCTTCGGGGATTGGGGTGGACGGGGGCTCGGTAGAGTAACCCTCATTGTTGTACCATGAGCGGTTGACACGGTTTTTGACGTAAATTACGGCTGGAGAAGATATTAGAGTTGAACCAACGGGCGAGTAAAGTTTGGGTAGAGGGGCATGGATATTGGGTCAACATACTTGACAGGCGAACGCTAGCCTCCTGTTCGGCTTGTAGAATATCGAGCAGACATTCGAGGAAACCGGGCTGTTCTTCGATCTAGATAGTGTAACAATGTAAATCAGCATGTTTGTTCCTTTAGTGATTTGAGGTTGGCGCAAGGGATAGGCAGCTGAGTAGTAGCAGTGGGCGCAGAGCAGATAGAAAGCGGCGACCATGTAAGGCAAGCGATGCTGCTGCTGCTGGTCTGGCAGAGTAGGTGGCTATTCATAACCCCCAGCAGGACCCAAAGCACAACACAGGCGTTCCCTTAAAACAGCACAACACAACACACGACACAAAGACGCGAATGCAAAGACGCACCGATTTTAACTGAATCTCAGCACGCCTTCGGCTGTCTGCATCAGGGTCCAAGCTAGCGGCGAGCAAGGACCTCACAGCGGCAGTATCCATGGTGAAGGGTGGATATATATAGAGAAGTCGACGTCGAGGCCGAAGAGAAATGGGAGTGTGAGGTAGGTAGAAAGAAAGGCGGACGCGGACGAAAGAGGCGGAATCAGGATCTGTCAGGACTGGATAAGAATGGCGAGCGGCGGATGGCGGGGCATGGATCTAGAGACAAGCCAAAAAGCACAAAGTCCACCTCAGCTAGTTCACAGTCGGAAATAGAGGGCCACGAGCAGACGCAGACGCAGATGCAGATGCGATCTCGAGTCGAGTCGAGTCGGGAGGGAGGAATCCAAGGTATTCGCCTCAAAAAAAAGGTCAAAAAGACTCTTTTTTTCTGTTTTCAGCAAGACAGGATTTCTTTTTTTACTTCCCTGCTTTCCTTTTGCAAGAGCTGGAATCGGAGCTGGAAATATTAGGTCAGGTCTCTATGGACGATGCCAGAGGCCCAAAAAGTTGTAGTCGGGACAAAGTAGCACCAGGGCCGTCCAAGTCCAGGGGCTCAAAAATTGGGCAAGATGGGTTTATTGGAGGTTCTGATTGGGGACTTGACTAAGGTAGGGCTCCAGTTCCAGGCCCAAGCCCAGTCCAGTCCAGTCCAGTGTCAGTCTACATACAGTACGGGATAGACTATAGGGTGCGAGAAAAATAACAGACTATAGACTACACAAATTGACCTGATTATTTCGTCTTCTGAACTCAAAAAGTTTTTTGATTCCCCAAGAGATTGTGGGACGCAATTCGGTCACTCGTCACTCGGCGGCGGAAGCTGGAGACGGCCTCGGGGACGGAGTCGAATCGAAAAAAACAGGCGCACACTCTTTTTTTTACTTTTCAGTGGGCCTGGGTCCGGTTGTGGTGTCTTTTTATTTCCTTCCTTTTGTTTTTCGGTAGATGATGAAATCTTGGTAGGGATATCGATATCGATGGATCACATTCATAGTACACAGTGAATGTATGTATGTATCTATGTATGTAGTTATTTAATCACTACAAGGGTTCTCTCACGTTCAACAGACCAAACCTCGAGTCAAAAGCAGCCCGGTCAGTCTATTGAACCAATGAATGAGATACCTCACGACGCACCAAATCTTGGCGTCTTGATCAAGTACCTACTGAGACTCAGCATGCCACGAGCAAAGCACGCGGTCACTGACGATCACCTACGTTACTGTAGGTTTTTAGGGTCGAGACTCGGTCACTCATTGTCGGTCGGGGCTTTGTTTTCTGTTTGACCATTCATTTTCCCGGAAGATAATATAATATAATGCCCCGACAACCACTGAAATTATCCCTGCGTCATTATACAATGTAGGTTCTGTTCTATACTGAATTATGCCTTATCCATTATGGGCTAATTCACAAAAGTCGGTCACATGGAATAACAAAAAACTTAGTCTGTACTGTACTGTATCTATCGCATGAAACAACACTCCGTAGCATACTTAAAATGGTCAAAACAAAACAATTTTATTTTCTTTAAATAAAAAAACCAGGCAAATCAAAGGGTCCAGTACCCATCAACTTTAGTCTAGTGCCCCGCCAATTTCCCCTCACCGCTTTTGGTTTAGAATCTTTAGTCCCTACAGCAGGTACCTACAGTAAGGCAAGTCTAGTAAATTGCTGCAGATTGCCCCCGAGTCGAGTTCCATCTCCTATGCAACGAGATATCGACAAATTGAAATGTCTAACCACTCAACTCAAGCTAGAACTTGGCATTTCGAGACTCTAAACTAGCATGTCCTCTGGTTCGTCTTTCGGCCTACAAGAGACATGAACGAGTCGTCAAAGAACCCTCCCTTCTATACCTGGCATGCAGTATTGCATTTGCAGACATAGCAAGTTGCCAGTTTGAGCATATCATGATGAATGGCATATGCTAACATGCTGCATCTTTGTATCAGTCCCGAGCTGTTTCAAAGCCACATATATGAACCAGAAACCAGACCCTCGGTTCCAAACCATCAAATCGGCTGACTTGGGCTCTGGACTTGAAGGATGACTGCGCAAAGAGTATCAAAAGCATCCGTTAGAGCTGGGCAGTACTCATCTCTATGTCGACTAGATACTTTGTGTTATACAGTCTCTACTAGTACCGTCGACGACTAGGGCCGGCTCACCTCCTTTCCATGTACGGCCTTCTCAAACCACAAAGGACGAAGAGTATTAGACCCACCGTATGTTTGTGACGATCTACCTCTTGGTTGAGTGTAGCCGTTTACCTAGTTGTATATTCCCTGATAAAAATGTAAAGATGTCGATAGATTGAAACTGAGGCAAACGATACATACATCTTCCCTCCGAATATTATCCAAGAAGCATCCTTGTCAGATAGATGTTGGGTGACAAGTCGGCGGTCAAAGCGTAGTAGACATTGGAAGAGTGAGACTTGTCCAAGTCGAATCAATGGTCACATGAATCTAATCGATGTACCCATGCGCCATGTTTCTCGTTGCGAGAGGTTGGCTGAAGTTAATAAAGACGTTAGTGACAATAGTGTCAGCTATGTCAGCTATCAGCTGTCTCAGTGGCTGCCACTTTCACGAGCTGAAGGTCAATGGATGTTACCGTACGGATACAGCACCTATAGAAGAGCATACAAGTGATGCATGTAAGACGGATTGGCTCTTGTTATCATTTATATCCCCATCCATTCCCCCGCCTTTCCTTTCCTCTTCTTTCCTATCTGACTATTTGCTTCACCGACGCCAGTCTGCCCTGTTTGCGAAAGCCTCTATACAATACAAGATGGCATCACCAACTCAGCCACTCAGAAAAGGCGCATATGCTCCTTCAGGCCCTGATGATATACGAGGCCCGTGTCCTCTTATCAATAGCCTTGCAAACCATGGTTATCTCCCCCGAGATGGCAGAAATGTGCGTGTCGAAGAAGTGTTGGCAGGGATGGATGCTATCGGACTCTCCAAGCCTCTCGGTGCCGCCTTCGCCAATCCCATCTTCCAGGAGCGTGCGCCTTCAAAGTTCCACAATGATCCAGTTGTTGAGAGATCTTTCCTTGAAAAGATGTGGCAGACTGTTACTGATCCGTGGTCGGTGATGGGAAGATTCGGCATGCGGAAGCCAGGCCAGGTTGACTCTGATGGCCACAGAGTCTTAAACTTAGACCAGCTTGGTTTGCCCAATACGGTTGAGCACGACATATCTTTGACCCGTCGTGATCACCAGCAAGGGGACAATATTACCCTTCAAAAGGATCTCGTCGAAGACCTGCTTGCCAGCTCAAAGGATGGCAAGGTCATCACCGTCGATGATCTTGTTGAATTCCGCAAGAAACGCATTGCAAGTCAGAGAGCAGATAACCCGGATGTCCATTATGGCCCATTTGAGAATGATCTCGCGTGTGCCGAGATTGCGCTGATACTCAACGTTATTGGTACGGGAGATAGTGTTGAATGTAGCTATGCCAAGGCTTTCCTCCAAGAAGAAAGGTTACCGATCGAGGAGGGTTGGAACAAGCGATCTTTTGGTATAGTTGCTTTGATCACAGAAAGGAACAAAGTCAGGAAGATGGCAGGGGTTGAGTTCAAGACTAAATGATGCTGAGTTGTCTTGTTAATAAGAGTTGGTGGCAGGAGATTTGCGAAACAATGGCCTCTTTATCTAATCACATTGGATTAATTCATTCTTTGTTTGGTTGGCAAGCTATTTACTTCATGTAGATAAATCTACCAAGGTATTGTCTGTGGCAGATACCAAGTTGCAACTCTTCCATAGTTCCTATAAGACTACCAAGCGCTTCTCATACTCCCAGGCAAAGTTCATTCCCTACTCCCGAAGAAAACAGTCATTTGTATTTGGTGATACTTTACAGTTTCACTCACAAAGTCGCACCTTTCTCGTCGTCGAAGCCCAAGACAGTATACATGGTCACGCGTAGATCGTGACGGGAAGCTGCAGTCACACCGACCGATCCAAGTCTGGGTGAGCTCCTTGATTGTCTGACTGGACCCGAGTCCACTTCTCACTTCATGCACCTCTCCGAATTGTCTATTGCCATGGTTTGGGTGAGTCAAGGAAAAGTCGGCCCCCATCTCAGCGGTCTGATACTACTCGACAAGCCACAAGCTTGTGTTTGAGCCCACGCAGCCACCCGTCTCGGTCTTCCACTCAGCGTTATATGCTTTCGCAGGATGACCAAAGCGAATTACAACAGCACAAACCTTTAATCTTGCAACCGGATGAGTTTCCTCTCAGAGCCAGCAACGTCGAACAAGCAAGCTGCTGTGCGGTTACACATGTACCTCCGCACAACATAGGTCTGTCATTGACTGCAGCATCTGACGAATGCTTGGTCAAACATACTAGCTTGATTAGCACTGCAATATCCTGCCTTGCATTGTTTGCTCTGTCCCTGTAACTCAATCGAGTAACAGAACCGCAGTCGCTTAATGACTTGTCCTTATTTTCGAGAATTCGAGGAAACTCAAAGGAAGAAGCACCGATAACAACAGAGATAGGCGTCCCTTGAATCAGAATGGGCCGTTGCATGTCAAGGTCCAAGTGTACACCACTCCGCCGTTGTCAACACCGCAAACAGGTCAAGTCCGGAGCAGTGCTGCTGCTCTCCCCTGCTTTCGGACACCCGCAGACCTCGAGGCTCAAACTGTCCTAACAATAGTTTGCATGCCATGATATGAGCGGGTTCTCACAGGACACTAGATGACTCTCTGCATGAGGTCAGTGAGCTGTCTTTGGTACGTCCACTCTTGATGACTCTAATCTACTATTATAAATGACCAGGTATCTCCAAGCTAGATGCAGAATTCACAGCAATCTAGCATTGACCTATCTTTACATCGACCGCACTTGTCACCATGATCTTGCCAATTAACTCCGAGACTGCTCAGACGATCCCGGGTGTTTCCGTGCCTGCGGTATCCGTCTTCAATCCCGAGCCATCTCGCTATCAAGTCTTTCACATCCAGCATGCCCCTGGGTCTCATAAGATCTTCATCTCAACTAGCTCCCCTAGGCCAGCTGGTTACCTTTACTATGTCACGGGTGTCTCTCTTTCGGGCCATCCACAGAATGTACTGCCTCTCATGATCGATACCCTCAATTCTCCTGATCAAATTGGCAACATTCACGAAAGTCAATGCGTCGGCTCTATCGCATCTCACGACCTCGAGCGTGTGCAAACCGTGATAAGTGACCACTCGAGACTACTCGGCCAACAGAGCTTTGCTCTTTCTCCTAATGAGCCGACCCTTTGCGAAGATTGGGTCAATGTGGTTATCGCAATGCTCCTTGACGATGGTATTCTTGTGGCACCTCCAGCCATAGTACGCGAGCACAGGCTTCCCAGACACCATCACACGGCCCATTGTATTCACCAACGACTTTACTCCCATCATCCCTACAAGCGTCGAAGCCGACATACCGTGGATCGGAGTTGACATAGGTAAACTGAGACGTTTCCTCGAAATGGCAGCTTTGGTTGGCCAGAGAGCGTTGGTGGTTCATATGTGAACTGGCTGAAGGCATTTCTTTTATCTCACTTCAAGGCAAATAGGCGTGTTTGATGATGATAACCGACCAACTCTTGTATTTCTCAACATACTTTTGCAATAATGGTAGTCCATAACCCGCATTTGATTCCCACATTCGGGTCCAGCTGGAAAAAATAATAGAATGACCTCTTTCAACTCCCTGTATCTCCAATAAACAAAAGCTTGACAAAAAGACACGAGTGACAATGAATAACAGAACCCAGGCCAAAGAGGATATATCCGTGGATCCAAGGCTGAAACAAAAAGAGAAACAGAAACATAAAAACTTCAAACAAAACCGTCGCCAGTAAACCCCATCGATCTTCCTTCATGACGCTGTCCAGTAATGCCAGACCAAGGTGTGGAGATCCAGTCTCGATTTTAATGGCGTCCGCTTCTCCAGTTTTGAGCAAATCCGGTAGGTGACAAGGCCGCTAGAAGAATACAATGTGTTGCTTGCAAATGATGCGATGTCGCTCATAGTTGGTGCGATATTGAAAATGTCATCTGCAAAAAAAGGGTTCTGCAGTTTCTGAATGCCGACGTATCACGATTACCAAAGGGCCAGTGAGGTGTAGCAAGAAATCCAGGTATGAAAAAGCTGACCAAGTCCAGAAAGGGCTCAAACGAGCCTGAGTCTAATGCGAGCAGGAATGGATTCGGCAGAAACCAGAGCAACAAGCAACCCATAGCGCATGCAACAGTGTAGCAAATTGCAGTCCGAGGTGGCGGAGTAAGAATGATTCCAAAGGAGTAGTCATTGAATCACCGTGTTTGCATGTTACCTTGACTCCTGTGCAAAGGCATGTTCTGGTTTTTGTTTGATCTTGATTCCAGGCAACTCAATGCGGGCGCAAATGAGTGTCAGTATCGTCAATGACGAACTTGAGACAACCTCGGCTGAGGTGGGTAAACATCCAGATAACAGTACAATCCTGGTGAGTTTGGTCCTATCCTTGGTAATGTATAGTAGAGGCAATTGCCAGTTGGTTGTCCCAGGGTAAATCAAGTACATCCAGGGAGATCCAGAAGTGTGTCCAGGTATAAATATACGTGCACCTAGCTGCTTCAGTCAAGTCTGGCGAGTCAGTGTCTTTGCGATTCATCAAGACAAGATCCATGGTAAGTCCATCAGTGGAAGGAAACGTGAGAGTGAGGGAACAGGGGAAGCAAAAGATCCTTTTGAAAAGGTTGGCTAATATATACAAGCTCGTTCGAACTCACCTTGCTGTCCGGATGCCGGCCTCTGCCAATAATTATTTCAATAAACGCCGCGTCTCGACGATGGTTTACATCGAAGAATCCGAGGGCCAAAGACATTGGATGAAAAGAGCAAGAACCAGCCAGATCCAGGTAGGACGGAAAACAGAATACTTCCCCTGAGGGCGAATCCGGACAGCAAGGCCATGACATGAGACACCACCCCAAATCCACCTGGTAAGGGATGGCTCCCTTTCCTTTTCCATCCCAGCGCCGTGTCCCAGTGTAAAACGTATGCAGCATGGTCTCATCCGTGTGGCAATAATGTGCGTAGTCGACGAGGTCGTAAATCCAGGTAAGGCTCATCCACAATGCATGGTCGTCATCAAAAGTAAAGAAAAACAAGGCACCAAGGGTATGCGTCTCAGAAAGGTCCGGTTCGTGTATCCAGGGCATCATCGATAGCAATAGTTGGTACGTCCAGGGTATTATCGACTCCAGAGAATCCAGGTTCGTAGATGACGGAATCAATCTCCAGGAAGATGGAATGAGATACCTTTCCAGCGGGAAACTCCTGTTGAGATGCAAACTTGCAACTCGGTGGTGGCACCAGCCAAAGAAAAGAAATCTGAAGCCTCTGAAGGGGTCATATCCGGAAGAAACAGAAAGAGGAAAGAGTCGTTCCAGTAGAAAAAATTAAGCCGTACTCCATGTAATCCGGTCATTATGCAGAAATCATCACACTCGCGAAAACGTCGGGGCGTCTCGTCAAGCTCAGGTAGGCCATAAAGATCTGGCCTTGGGTACTCCGGAAACACACCTTTTACCGGCGGCTGGAGCGATGGTGACGGTCCGAGCTATGCCTGTCGCTCTCTCGTTCACTACGTCGGCCGCTGGAGGTGCCACTGGGATTTGTTTGAGTATTTGTTGGTGTCGCGGAAGCGCGAGCACGGGGGGTTTCTTCATACTGTGAGGCCTGGGTATATCCTTGGGCTGGTTGACCTGCTAGAGCTCGATAATCAGTACGTCATCCTCATGGGAACTTGCCCAACGGGTCCTCCACTATACGCACCACGACCATAGAAGGGATCCTGGGGCTGCATTGCGTAGCCCGCAGGAGGAGCCTGACCTGAATATTGGTAAGCAGCAGTGGCCGGGTAACCGGGTTGCGAAGGTGCAGAAGTGGCATAAGCCTGCTGCTGTGCAGCGGCGGCGGCAGCAGCCTGGTTAGCAAAGGCATCGTATCCTCTGGGCCTCTGGTTGGTTCCGACATCCACATAAGGGCTCTGGCCAGCCTGGTACGGTGCGTTCATGACGGCAGCTGCAGGAGTAGAGCTAAACCTAGAATCCGCTGGGGGAGGTGATTGCTGAGCTTGTGTATAACCGGCAAAGCCACTACTTGAGCCGCCATAAGATTGGCTGTATGAACCAGCGGCACCAGTGTAGCCGGGAGCACCTGTTCCTGGGTACCTGGGTCCATCAAAGCCGGAGTCACGAGCGTAAGGGTCGGTCGAGTAGGGGCCCTCGGTAGGACCGTGATGCTGACGCGACTGATGCGTCTCCGAGTAGCGGTATTGCACTACAGGTGAGTTAGATGAGTGTCTCGGCGGCACGCCAACGTTTCTCGAGGCAATAGTACCTCCGGAGGTATTGCGTGAAGTCTGCGCACGCCTTTCACTATCCCATCTTGCAGAATCCGCTTTTAGGTCCTCAATCATAGCCTAGAGGGGCATGGTTAGTTCATGATCGAGTGCCGATGTCATGATACCAGACTTACAGTTGTTAGATTTCTGTAGGCAGTGATGTAGTAGCCTTGCACGGCCTGGCCTGTCTGGGGGTTCTATTGTGAAGAAAATGTGAGCCATTTGTTCCATCGGATGGCGGGGTCCACTATTGCTGAAGGCGTACCTCGTAGTGACCGGGACGCACGAGAGCGTCGTTGCCCAAATAACGGCAGATATCGGCGGAGATGACTTCACGGTCGATGCCATCGCGAGGGACGAAGTATTCGTTTTGTCGTCCAGTACCGGCACTGGCTGGGGGAGGGTTTCGGGATGCTCTCGACATGTTGATGTGTGGGGAGGATACGGCGGATGAAGAAATTTGGTAAGATGAAGAAGAGGAGATGGGAGAGAAGGTCGACAGAAGAGCGGGAGAAGAGGAGATAGACCCGGGGATGGGGGAGGAGGGAGACGACGTGGAGAGAGCTGAGAGGGTAGAACAGGCAGAAAGAGAAGAAGCGGGAGGGTGAGGATGAGGAGGAAGAAAAGGCGAATGGCGGCGGTGGGCGGTGGGCGTATCCTGTGGGTCTACACAATCTATTGGCTGCAGTGGTGGTGGTGCTAGGCGCTGACGAGGGGTTTTCCCACTGGCAGACTGACTTGCAGGAGACCGAGAGGCCAGCAGACGTCTGCTGGCACTAGCACTGTTGCTTGAGCTTGAGCTCAGGTTGGAACTGGACCGGCAGTGGGACAGATTCTGCTGACGGCGAGACGTCGTTGGTTGGAAGCGTCGTCTTGGGTGTGGTTTTGGTGGAGTTGCAGGAAGAGGCAGCGGAGGAGGAGGAGCCAGTCCGAAGGCAGATGTTGCTGGTGCTGATGCTGGAGGTGAGGGAAAGGGGAAAGAAAAGGGTAGTGGTGGCGAAGAGCATGCGGGAGGTTGGCGATGTTGGTGCTGATGCTGGCCAAAGCTGAGAGGTCGAGGTTGCTGGTGAGTTGATATTAATGGGTCGTCACCCGGAAAACCCTGATATTGTTGGGCGCGGTGATGTTGGTGGTGGAGCTGGTTCTGATTTTGCAGCAAGCCAAGATAGTACAAGCTGGGATCACCCGGCTGTTCTAGGCCAGGCGGGGATTGTACTAATATTTCGTCTATTGATGATGGTTTCTCTCCCACCGGCTGCTGGGTTGTGAGTGAGTCGGCTGGTTCTTGCCTGGGACTGTCCGTGACGGAAGCTTGTATCTCACTTTGACCGAACCCAACACCAAAATGCGGGATCTGCAGCTGCCGCTGCTGGTCTGGTGCGTGGGTGCCCTGATTCTGGTCCTGATCCTCACTAGCCTGGTCCTTGTCTGTTCCGCGCTGCCAGCAACCCTGCATCAAGTGGCGACCTATTTTGGTGGACCGTTTGAATGCCCTGCTACCGAAGCCAGATGCGGTTGGCACGTCTGGGGATTCCGGAAGTTGTTGCGCGTGCCCTACAGCGCCTTTCCTGCTTTGCCGGGCTGGGTTCTGGTCTCGACGTTGGGCTTGGGTTTTAGCGGTGACTGATGACACTTGGGCACCGCGGGAGGCTGGGCGAAACCCTTTGTTCGAAAGAGAGGGTGAGGCCTTGTGTTTCGGTTCCAGTTCTTGTCTTTCTTGTGACTCTTGAATCAGACGGTTTCTGGCTGGCGAGTCACAGCGCAGCCCACCGTATGCCAGCGGATGATCAATGATTGCGGTGGCGGCCACGCCGAACGTTGCTCGCTTGTTGTTGATTGTTTATGGTACTGGTGGCCAGGCTATTTGCACCGGCTTTTGAGAGTATTGTTTTTGTAGCTGGTCCCAAATCCCCTTCATCAACCTGTCAGTCGAAGGGTTTGAACCGTGATACCGTTTGTGTAGTGTGACACATGCACTGCAAGCCTCTTTGCCCGTCTTATCCCATTCAGGAAATGAAAGTATTCTGTCGTCCAGGTCACAACGTGGTTCGTCCCTGGTTTGTGTCAAAGATCGTGAAATTGCGTCAGTTATGGGGCAGTTTGGCTCAAATGTCAAATCCTGAAAACCTGAGCATGAAGGATCGATTTAACCCCGTCGTTTATTAGAGATCGAACCTGTCGCGGTCCAGATTAAAGCTCGGATAGGACCAAGATCTTTTCTGTCCGAGCAACGTTGAGCGGTTGGAAACAACTACCCACAGCCAAACAGGTTGCAGATACCAAAAGCAGACGCGGCAATGATACCTTCAAAGTCGTCTTTGTATTGTTGTGAACAAGGCTATCCCTTGTTTCAACGATGCCCAACACCCACTCAAGCCTTCTTCTCCGATTGTGGTAGTAAGACAGTGTCGGCGACACGCTGTGCTCTAAGTTACGATCGCCCGCAAGCGAAACAGACACCTCGTACAGAAAACTCTGTATCTTCCCAAAGATCAGTGCCTAATGTTCGGACTAGTGCTGTGATATTAGAGAAGCTGGGATGGAGCAACAGCGTTAGCAATACTATGACGTCTTGCCCTTCCGGATGTGAGAATAGTTTCTTTTTTAAGAAGTGCTGTGATCTGTACAGCATGGGAGTACCTTGCCGAAGTGACAGAAACTGGACGGTAAAAACGAGTGTCCAAGGTACCATTGTCACATCTTGTCATATACTTCACACTGCTGTTTTATATCCCAAATGAAGTATTCGCAACTCCCAGTATGTGCTGATTCAATAGCATGTCTTGACTTAAGCGACACGTCGACAAATGGAGCTCATTGTCAATCTACTTTGTTGTTCGTCACCTATCGAGAGAAAATCCGTGCCTCTGTGCCCTTCGGTTGCAATATCTATTCTTGCCCAAATGTCTCGGAAGATTGGGCATCCCTCCTCCTGTGGTTCCTTACTTCTCGATGCCTGTCACAGTGCTGTTGCAGAACGTGAATTTCGACTATTACGCCCACAGACGATAGGCAACGTGTTTCCACAGCAGCGGCATGCTTGTCAGGTGTTGTGAAGTGCCAGCATTGCCTCAGTTACATTTGCGATTTTTGAGGCCAATTCCCAGGTTTGATGGCTGACGGTTGGTTGGCTTTTCGGATGTTCTTTGGAGGGTGGGTTGGGTAGCAATGCGTGCACCAATTGAAGCCCAATATCTGCACCCAGGACCATGTGTTCTGTGCCCAAGCTCTACTATCCAATCATTAGCCATCCTATCAAGGATACCAAGGCGTGTCAATGTCTTGGCACTCCACCAGTCGAATACTTTGTCATCATCTTTAGTACTCTTGATACATCAGCAGATTGATCTTATCAATATGCTTCCGTATCCCCGTGAGATTCATTCCAAGATGCAGAAGCGAGCAGTGTAAATAACACAGCACAAGCGTCTAATCAACTCGCTGATCCCCCTGATGTACGCTTCGGGTGTTCGCATTGCCTTATCGACCTACCATGCCGTGTCGGCTGTTTTGGCATGAATTGTGTAACCAGACAACAGCATTCTCCCCGGCGTCTGCATCGACTTATTTTTTCAGGGGGTTGTAAATGTCAGTCGAGCCAATGAGGGCAGATTGGTGTATCGCCACAGCTGCAATAGTTTGTCGGAGCTTTGTGTGCAACTCTGCACTGAGCATGATGACGATAGTTGCCTGCGCAGTATACCTACACCCTTTCGGCACTCTGGTCATGGAACCAGAGTACCCCTGGCATGACCGACATCTTCACTTGCCAGAAGCGCCACACCATTGTGCTGTGGTTTTGAATTTAGAAAGTAAGTAGCGTAGGTCGTGGGGCTGGCAGTTCCCACGAAGAGGCAAGGACATGGCAGGTTCGATACCCGTTCCTGCCATGTCCCACCAAGTCAGCCAAATTTGAGTCGACTTTGGCCTTGCTCAAGTTTACCACCTCGGCCGCGTCTCGATACACTTCCCTGCGTCTTTGGTGCAGAGCTGCGTGCAGTAGATTGCCGTTCAGCGAATGTAGGCTTGACACGTTCCTCATCCTGGAGATCTTTGGCCATGTGCCAATCCCCGTGACTCTGTAGCGCTTCCGGGTCATTAAAGCTGGCCTCGCAGCGAGAGCATGTAAGAGGATCGATCGAAAGTTGCCTATTCTGGTCTGTTTCGTTACTGTGAGCGCTCGCATGCGGCCATGATGCGTTTGATTGATGCGAATTGAGGTCAGATTCATGGCGGGCCTCATATTCTGACTTAGTAGCAAAACTGAGGCTCTTTTTGGCGTCTTGTGATAGCGTATGTGCAGCGCCGGTACTTTCATTGGAAGTACGTAATTCGTTTGAGAGACTCACGTCGCGTTCATTGGATGACCTCTTGGAAAAGAACCTTTGGATGCCACCATCCTCTGCGCGGCGCTTTTTTGCGGAGAGTTCGGGTCCAGTGGAAGATGGACGGCTCTCCATAGTGGACAAACGAAGCGCTTCTGCCTCTTCTCCTTTGACAAGAAACGCCCCAATGCCCATATTGCCTCTGATGCCATCTTCGAAACCTCCTACACTCAGGCTGAGATTAGCACAGGGCCATATGCCTCTTCCTTCTGCAATGATTTGTGTAAGAAGGTCCTTGGCCAGATCGAAGAGACTCTCCTCATCCAGAGTCCGCCCTTGGTGAATGGGGACCTGCCGCGATCGCACTTGTCCTTCGTGACGATGGTGCAGATTCATGGTTTTGGGCCGTCTCCTGTTCTCCAAGACGCCCTCTTCAACGAGTCGCGAAAATATATCAGCTGCAAAGATTCGCAGCCATCGTATTGCTTGCTCGGTGGAGTTGATAGTAGGACGAAAGGATTTAGCTGAGAGCATCGATTTGATTTGAGTTCTTGAGTTGACCTCGCTCATATCAATGCCTCGGATAGTATTGAAGATCCAAAAGCCTGTATCGTTGCCCAGTTTCGCCTTCATGGTTGGCAATGGTACCTCTAACAGCTCGGTAACACTCTCCATGTTGAATATCGATACAATCTGCTCTCCAAGCTTTCCTCCCAAGTTCCGAAGCTTCGTAACCTTGAATCCGGCCATGAAAGCAGACACTGCCCTGTTGCGGACAACGGTCTGCTTGTTGGGTTTCTTATAAGCCGAGCCTAACTTGCTGAGGAGCTTGTTACTGGCTACGCCCGCTGAACATGTATAGCCCAACTTTTGTCGCACCTCGGACCTCACTTTGCGGACAATCTCAGAGCCGATGAGAATAGCCACGTCATCCCAATCTGGATCTATTGTTTCTTGTTCCTCATCCAAGTCGATCAAAGCATCCGATTGCCAGTCGAGCGCAGCGATGGAAGGCAGCGGAAGCTTCTCAGTGGGATCATCGTAGGGAGGCGGGTTCGAGAGTTCTGGAAAGCGCTCCAGAAGGATTGAATAGACCTGGCTTGAAAGGTCAAGGAAGACTTCATCTATACTTGCCTTTTCCACTTTCTGAACGTCGACTGGCAAAGCATCCTTGATACAAGCCAAGATCTTTCTAGACTGGAGTCGGTAAGGGTCAAGAGAAACTTTATCCGTCACGATATTGGCAGCAGCATCCTCACGATATGCCCACTTGTCATCTCCTTCCCTCCATGTGGCAACATGCTGTGCAATAAGCTCAGGACATAGCTTCTTTGCTTCCTCAACATTACAATGACGTCCAATGCCACACTCCCGAGCAGGATAGTTGATCGCGATAAGCCCTTGCCTATCAAAACAATATGTTAGTCCAGTGCCGATGCCAATATCAAGGTTGAGTTGACGGTTGTTCGGGAGTGTCGGTCTTTGACTCTATATAGTGGGCAGCGTAGCAAGCAAGGGTCTGTTCCCGTCCCTCAAGAAGCCGGAATGAAGTCGATAGTTGACGTATAATTGTACTCAACAATGCGGCGGCAGAGCCCTAGCCATGGTTCAGACAAGGTTTAGATGTTACACAGACCAAGCCAAGAAACCACGATCTTCGAGGAAAGAAGGTATCTGAACCAGGAAATCGATACCGAGGCCAATGATATCATTCCTGGTCGTCGTTACGACCAGCTATTCGCATGTGTTTCCATGACTGACACCATGATGGGTGGCTGTTGAGAAGAGAACCGCCTACTCTTGAGTCGTATATGACTGATTAGGTATATCAAGGTGTTCTTGAATGACGACTGCCCCGTCGGTAGGTGGTAGCACGATGCAAGCCCGGGCGGAAACTGGTATCCATTGCCCAATCATGGCCGGATCAAGATGATGCAGACTCGATTCTCAGGGCAAGGACAAGATGTAGCGATCGTGATAGGTAGTTTATTGAAGAGAAAACAAAAATGAAATGAACCATGTTGGTTTTGGGTAGATATGGGAGTCTAATTGAAAGCGTCGAGAACTCACCATTGCTGAACAGCCAACGGCTTGTCCTCAGGGATCCCAAGCCGAACCATTTCGCATTGCGCATAGAAAGCATCAAGATCAATATGGGCGATGACGCGCAGCGGATTCGAAGTGTTGGACGAGGCAAGCTGCGAGAATTGGCGATACGTGAACTGCGAACGCCGCCAGCCACCTTCGTTCAGTGGCGATGAAGCCCCGGGGGGACGATGCAGCGGAGAAGAAGGCATTTGGCCGTCTGTTTCAGCCTATTGCGTATGTTTTTAGGCCGAGTTATCCTTTTGCATCATACAACTGCGACAAAACATTGCCCAGCAGGCACTTTGGCCTGTCTTTTTCACGAGCGAGATTCCAATCGCGGACACGGATGCGGAACAAGTTTTCGTGTGGTCTTTCAAACTGACTCTGGCTTTAAACACTGGGCGGTATAAAACAAAGCGTGATGAGGAAGCGTGATTTCCAAGATGGAGTGTTGATACGAGTTAACTTAGATTGATGTTGTGAATGGAAGGAGGAATGCGAGATATGATAGGACTATCCACTGCGCTGCACCTACCTTAATTACCAAGATCCACTCTCGAACGTCTTGCCTTCCCTCCTTCAACAATAAGCTGGCTCTGATCTATGGGTACCTGCCTAGGTAGGTAGGTAATTTAGTAGCTACCCATAGATTAGTAGATACTTGAAAACTTCATGTCATACGTTAAAGGGGATATTTGATCTTCTATCAATTCACGTGGTTGAGTCCATTCCTGGTCTTGCAACGTCATGAATCTCTGCAACGACACGCCAACAGTCACATCTTTCATTCATCTTATCACCTCGCACACTAACATGTGCTATTAATGTATAGCATAAACACGTTCATCCATATGTATATTCTATACCTCGGCATATCACATAAAGATCGATCCAGTATCGGAAATATACCAACAGGCGCCACCTTGAAGGACTGTACTACCCTATACTTCTCCTCAATACATCGGTTCCAACCATTGAGTCCAAAACATCAACATATCCTCAACCAGGACTAAGAGTACTGCTTTTATAGAACGACTAAATCTCGTTCTCTCTCACATGAAGATTCATACTATCAGCTATTTTTCTACAATGCAAGAATATAACCGTGTTTATTGCTTCACCAAGTACATACGACCAAAGCTCGTAGAAAATACGGGATCCCGTCTGCTCTCCCAGAGTCAAGCTACGAAGCGCTGGATTAGTAGTTGGGTCGGTGACGACCAGCGAA